CCAGTGGGGTCCTTTTATGACGAGACTTCCAGTTTACACCAAGGGTTGACACATAGAAAATACAAACACAAATCATTTAGAATTTATCACAGATAAATGGTCAAAGCCCCAGTATAATTAATAAAAAACAAATTCACTATTAAAGATGGATTTAAATTTATCCATCAAAAACTTTTTCACTTGTACTTTAAAATTATATTTTTTAGAGCAACTTTTAATCATGTCTGGTAACGAATTCCAGTCTTTTATTCTATTATAAAAGAAAGTGGCGGATTCACACCCTTTAATTCCTGGTATATAAAAGTTTTTACTACTAGATCTTGTATTAAAAGATGTTTCATTTCAAAATTAGTATGTAAATAATTTGGGCATATATTGTTAAAAATGTTGAAAACATGATTGAGTCTTAGTTGTTTAACTCTATTACTAATACTTAAAAAGCCCAATTTCTTAAATTCAATATATGTCACACTCTTTCTGGGATGTAATTGCAGAATAAATCTTACAATCTTATTTTGTGCCACCTGAAGTTTATTCTTCATTTGTTTTGATATACCTTCATACCAGCATGCACATGCATAGTCAAAATGACATTGAATCAGAGAAGAGCACAATGTTTTCCTAGATTGAAAATTTAGACACTCTTTGTTTCTATTTAAAAATTTAAGCCTTTGATTGACTTTTTTCACTATAGAGTTGACATTAAAATCACCAGTTAGAAACTGATCAATTATTATTCCCAAATATTTTACAAAAGTTTTGGATTCAATATTAATACCATTACAGGAGATAGCAAAATCACCCGGTATTAAAGACCGAAGTTTTTCGACCAGGACCAAAAACTATACTCTGCGTCTTTCCCAAATGTAGGGACAATTTATTGTCAGTTAACAAATCATGGCATGATTCCAGCATTCTGGATAATTTATGCAAGATGACCCCAGGGTCTATATGGGAAAATAAAATTGCAGTATCATCTGCATATATCAAAGCTTTACAATCTGAGTCCATGCTAATTTGAACATCATTGACATATATCAAAAACAATAGTGGACCCAGTAAGCTACCTTGTGGGACACCACATGTAATATTACATACTTCTGAAATCACCCCATTTACACTTACAACCTTTTTTCTGTTTGTCAAATATGACTCAAACCAAGGTATAGATCTAACCCCAATTACTTCTAATTTGTCACATAATATCTTTTTTGATCTACTGTGTCAAATGCCTTCTGTAGGTCTAAAAGGACCATGCCTGTAAAAAGACCTTTGGCTGTTTGAGTTTTAATGTGATCTATCAAGTGAATGAGACAAGAATCAGTTGAATATGAACTTCTAAATCCTGATTGAAACTCAAATAATAAATTATTTGAAATCAAAAATTTTTCAAGTTGCTTATAGGCAGCTTTTTCTAGAATTTTAGAAACAATACTTAAAATGCTAACAGGTCTGTAATTTTCAGGCTTAAGTCTGTCATTTTTCTTAAAAAGGGGCTTGACCTTAGCCATTTTCAGATCATCAGGTACCGTACCTTCAGAGATAGATTAATTTATCAAGAAAGTAATGGGTATTTTCAGAATTGGGGCTGCATCCTTAAGAAACCTTGCTGGAATCAACTAGGCCCATGCTCTTACTTGTATTTAAACTGCATAGTTCTTTATACACAAATTCCTCTGTAACTTGCTTTGGGTTAAAAAAATATCTGATTTCCTTCTCTGAACATAAAAAGATCTAACAATATTTGTAGTGGCACTATATAAACCATAATGTTCTATTTTTAGCCACAGTGGCCATGTTTGTTGATTTTCAGGAACACAAAACACTAGTAACTCTGTATTAGATACCTTAAGGATCATTCAGTTAAATTTTGGTTTAAATCAGTCTAGTGGATGAAGAGAAGATTTTTGTAAAAGCTTACAACAACAAATGGAGACGGATGATGACTACAGACGAAGAGGAACGCCAGCTCATAATGCCTTTTGGGTCAGATAAGCAAAACATGGGAATAGCTGTAGCAAGATGTTAAAAATAGTTAGGCTTTATAAATACTAAAATCAAGAGAGTTAATTAACTGTATTCTGAAGTACTGAACCATTGTAAAGATCAATGTACTCTTGACAGTAAGTACCACCTGTAAGGTCAAAAGAACTTTCCAGAGTGCCCTGATACTTCCTATAATAAATCAACATATAAAATATTGGTAAATTATCTTTTATAATTTGTGAATATATAAAAAGTTTAACCTAACCACTAAAATGTAAGGTCCAAGTTATATGATAACCAAAGTAAATGCTAGACACAAATCCACCAACTAAATACTGTTGGTCATGTATAGTTACCAAGGAGCAGATTTAATCCTGAAAACTTATCTTGACAATATATAGGTAACATGGCTATAGCTATATCACATCTATGAAAATGTCATGTATTCATTGAATTTCATTTTTGATAATAAGTGACATTAATTAAACAGAATGGATTTTAAAAGTTATGCAAGGGAGACAACTCAAGCAGTTACAATAGTTCAGATATTGGACAGGTATTTTCTGCCATGACAGTTAAAACACTTGTTGTTCATTTCACTAACATTCATTGAATGCATGACAAAAAAAATATTTAAAACCTCTTAGGGGTTAAGAGTATATTAAACTTAACTAAACCACTTCTTTAGTTGAAATAGGGGAGAAAATGTTGTTGGAAAAGAGTGAAATGTAAGAATGAAGCTTATGTTGATAGAAAAAGTCTTGAAGACAGATGCTGATAAGTACTAAATATGTATATTGATAAAGTTTGTTGTCATATAAAAATAAGGAGATATGATATGATTGCCAATGAGACTACTATCAGCCAGAGACCAAATAAAGTGAAAGTAAGCAACTATTGGTCACAGTATGGCCTTCAGCAATGAACAAAACTCATGCCTTATAGTGAGCTATAAAAGGCCTGACATGACAAAATCTAAACAATTCAAATGAGAAAATCTTTATCCAGATTCATGATAATACAATAAATGAAAAACAAATATGACAGAGAACAACCAACAACAACCACTGAATAACAGGCTCCTGATTTGGGACAGGCACATATAGAATATAGTAGGATTAAACATGTTGTTCATGCGCCTGTTAAAACGTTTAAACCCGCTGCATTTTTATGCACCTGTCCTAAGTCAGGAGCCTGTTGTTCAGAAGTTGTCATTTGTTGGCGTGGTTCATAAGTGTTTCTCGTTTCTCATTTTTTATATAGATTAGATCGTTGGTTTTCCTGTTTGAATTGTTTTACACTAGTCTTTTTGGGACCCTTTAGGCATGGGCCATTTGACTTTCTAGAGGGGCCTGGGTTTTTTTGAAAAAAAATAATCTGGCCTATTCAGTTGCTAAAAAAATATTCTGGCTTCATCTTCAGCAAGTATGACATGTATGATGTTGAAAAAAAATATTCTTGCTTTGGATTGACTGAAAAAAAATATTCTTGCTCGGTTTGTATGATAAGAAAAAAATCTGGCTTGATATAAAAACCCAGCCCCCCCCCCCCCCAAAGTCAAATGGTCCATGCCTTATAGCTTACTGTTCCGTGTGAGCCAAGGCTCCGTGTTGAAGGCCATACTTTGACCTATAATTGTTAACTTTTTACACATTTATGATAATACAATAAATGAAAAACAAATATGACAGAGACCAACCAACAACAACCACTGAACAACAGGCTCCTGACTTGGGACAGGCACATATAGAATATAGTAGGATTAAACATGTTTGTTAAAACGTTTAAACCCGCTGCATTTTTATGCACCTGTCCTAAGCCTGTTGTTCAGTGGTGACTTGTGACTTGGATGGATAGTTGTCTCATTGGCACTCATACCACATCTTGTTATTTATTGTTATGAATGCTCAACCGTTCCCCAACCTTGAACAGTGGTGTAATAGCGCAACTTAAGAACAAACTGTAAAAATGTCATAAACAGTCTGTGAAAAGCATGACCATAAGTGTTCATAACTGTATACATGTAGCAATATACACTTAGTTATGTGTTAATTTATTGATAACAAACATAATGTTATTCCAGATGAAGACAACATTCAAAGATTTTAATGTGTTAAATTGATAACCTTTAGGAATAAATGTATTCCATTTTGTTCCCCCAAGACATCTCTTGTTCTCAAAACTCAACTTGATTTGACCATTTTGCAATAGTTTGTGCAGGAGGCAGCAGGACATTTGGGAAAAGTGGAGGGGCTTCTCATAGCCTGAATTTTATTTTTTATTATTGTTTAGTCTTTCTTATTTTTTGTCCATTTGAGTTTGGAATGGCATGACAGGAGAAAAATGGTCTATCAATTGCTTCTAGACGTATGTATGTGCCTGTCCCAAGTCAGGAGCCTGTAATTCAGTGGTTGTCGTTTGTTTATGTGTTACATATTTGTTATTCGTTCATTTTTTGTACATAAATTAGGCCGTTATTTTTCTAGTTTGAATTGTTTTACATTGTCATTTCGGGACCTTTTATAGCTGACTGAGCAGTATAGGCTTTGCTCATTGTTGAAGGCTGTACGGTGACCTATAGTTGTTACTTTCTGTGTCATTTGGTCTCTTGTGGAGAGTTGTCTCATTGGCAATCATACCACATCTTCTTTTTTATATTGTTCAGAATTCTTTCACTTCTAACTATTTTATGTCTATATTTTTGTAGATTTTACCAACTTTGGTATACTACCATCATATTTAACCTGTTGTGTCCTTTATTTTACTAATTTTTTTCTCTTTCATTATTTTTATTCATACTCCTAACATCATTGGTACATGGTTATTCTTCTATGTAATCTTATTTTCAATGTGACTATTTTCCAAAAATGCTTCTATTAGTAATGGCATCCACGTTTGTTATTAGACATGGGTAATATAAGAAAACTTTGACCCATAGGGCATGGCCAGCTAAAAGTTGAGCTCTACATGATGTTTACTGAGACAACTTTCCAGTAAACATATAAAAATGAATATTTAAATCAGTTAAGTTTATTTTGTCTGAATTCAATATCAGAATGGTAATAAATAATGAACTATTTACAGTTACACATTAAAAATGTTCAAATACATGAAACAAATTTAAAAATATAATTGTCATTGTAATATCATTGTTTCTGTTATAGATATAGATAAATAAAATCCGGTACAAAATGTATTTAGTATAAACACTAAGTTAATACACATCTCGTGAGACTTTGATCTACAATAGCATATATCTTAGATCTTATATTGGCTGAAAATTACTGAATCAACTAATCATATGAACATGGGTTTCTTAGAAATATAATTTCTTGTAAGGTTTTTTAATTATAATGTCAATTTATAATGACCTTGTGGATCTAAATCAGTATTTTTTTTTGTAAATTTTCCTTGAATGTTCAGTGTAAAACTACATGGTGCATACACTTGTCACGGAATTTTAATTTCTTTAAGATATTATTCTGAGCTTGTGATCAATGTCTGGTGTGAATAAAAAACATAGGTAAAAAGTAATTAGCGATCATTAGCCAATGTTCCCAGATGCATTAATATAGTTATTAAGAGGGCCCTCAGGATTATCAAACTATAATGGAGTGGCAGTTTTATTACAGGAAAGGGATTATAAACAAAAACAAGTGATCACAAGTGCATAATGGCGATTCAGAAATCTGATTTCAAACATTGAGTCAATGAAATGACCGAAATTATTTCTGTTAAAACATAAAATTTGTCCTAAATCTCAATTACTTGTTTAGGACATATAGCTTTCAGTTTAGGACATGACTGGCAAATATGACCGTTTCCAGACCCTTGCTGCATAGTAATGACAATTAATTTTGTTTCTAAAACATGTTGTGAAGGCTGTTATTTGATTGAAGTACTATTATTGTTAGTTTTGTTATCATTTTGTTCTATTTACAGTTAGTTACAAGTCATGTTGGTTAGGTGGCAGGGTCGTGGTTTTAAAACTAGACTATATATAAATAACGCATATCTGAGAGGGTGATAGAGCAGATTGTTACCCTGAGAAAACATTGTCAACTGAGGCGAAGCCAAGGTTTATACTGTGACGGCTTGTACATAGCAATCATCCGTATTTATTAAAGCACTCACTTGATCAAGCGTCTCCGTGAAGGGTAATAGAGTGTTTGCCATGGGATAGAGTAAATTGTCTCCCTCCTATCAACCAATCAAAATCTGGCATTAAATATATATCACCAAATTTTGTCCTGAGAACTGGTATAACTTGATCCAAATTTTTATGGATTTTATTATACTTTTTGATATTTTCAATAAAAAAAAGTATGTAAATAGAAAAACAAAAGCTTTGTTCGGCAAGTTATAAGTCAAGACTAGATTAATTGAAACTGTGTCAACATTTCTTCATGGCAAAGGCACCAAGTCCTTCATCCACAACAGATCTTGATACTCCTTTATCAGCATGGATACAGGTAACACCTAGAAACAGAAAACAAGTATATGTCAATTCCTTTGTTTGCAATGGAGAAAAATTGATTGATTTTTGTTAATTGCCACTTTCAGCACTATTGTGCTATTTTGTGGACGTCAGTTTTTATTGGTGGAGGAAGCGAGAGAGAACCACTGACTTTTGGTAGGAAAACTGACAATCCTAGTTAATTAAAATTAGAGTCGAATGCACCTACCATGTGCAGGATTGGAACTCACAACCTCAGTGTTGACAGGCTAGCGATACAGTTTGACTTCTTAGATCATTTGGAAATATATATCATATGTTTATTTTAAATTTTAGAAATGGTTTGGAAAGAAGAAAATTTCTGGGAAACAACAATATGTGACAATATAAAAACAACTTATATTTATACAATTAAATAAACTTTTACAGCAGCCAAAACTATGACTGATTTAAATTTAAAAATTGAAATACAATTACCTCCCCTTATTTCAGAAATGAAGGAAAAGCAGATATAATATTTCAAACAGGACATCCCAAAAAAATAAGGAGCTATGCTAGATGCAGTATGATACAACAACAGCATGTTTACAAAGAATAAACTGTTGACCCACAGATATGATAGCAAAATGCAAATGTTCTAATAGCAATAACATGTAAATTATTGAAAAAACTCAAGGGTCAATGGAACCAGAGACATATAATACATTATTTGATGGAACAGAGCAAAATAATTTCTGAGATATAAGATATGCCAATGCTAATACAACTGCATACTAAATATCATTGCCTTATCATAAATGATTTCCCATAAACTGACCTATTCACAAACTTTAACATGTAAACTACTGCAAAAGTTTCGAAGTCAATGGGCCATGACTGTGAGGGCATGGACAAAATATCATCTGACATGGAAACGAGATGTGCCAATGCTTATATAACTGCATACCAAATATCTTAGCTATACCATAAGTGGTTCCTTTTAAACTTTTCTAATCACAAATTTTAACATTTAAACTATGAAATTGTTTATAAGTCAATAGACCTACACTGAGGAGGCAGGGTCAAATAATCTCCATGGAAATGAGATGTGCCAATGGCAATACAACTACATACCAAATATCACTGACTTATCATAAGTGGTTCCCCTTAAACTGATCTAATCTCAACCTTTAACATGTAAACTATGCAAAAATTTCAAAGTCAATAGACCATGACTGTGGGGATGGGGACCTGCATACCCAAGTCTCGCCTCTTTAAACATCAAAGGGAGACAAAAACTGAACATACTATGTATTTAAAGCAAGTGTGGACAGTCAGAATTGTAGCTAACCATTTACCAATATCATAAAATCTCTGTTTAATATTGTTATATCAAGCAAGGTGTTTCAATAAAAATAATATCAGTGTTAGATACAAAATTTTAAATGGAAAATACCAAATAATCAATTGTGAATATGTTTGAAATATGAATGTAAACGGACATATGCATTTACTGTCTTTTGATGTGTGATCTTTGTTTACTAAAGAAAAGTTAAGGACTAGAGCCTGAAACCCCAATAAGCAGCCATGTAAACGTGTATTTTTAAAACTTCAATCGTTTTAGTAAATTTAATTTGTATGTATTGCTAAATGTTTTGTTTTTGAAAGTATAATAAGAAAAATTGTATATCTGCTTCATATATTATAAATATATTAGCCTGAAAAAGAAATAAATATCATGTAAGACCTTTTTTCTAAACGTTTTTCACCTTTATCAACCGTTTTTCTTGATTTTATATGTGGCGCCACTGTAAATTTTTCAGAAAACTGTCAAACTTTGCAAAGTTATGCCCAAAAAAAATCAGGTTTTAAAGAAATTATGACATCACAAATACATCACTATAAACGAAGAATTGGTGAAAATCTTTTTAACTGAAACTATTGGACATTATAATATATGTTTTCACAACATTATCGCAGTTAAAATTTTTCAGATTTTTAGGGCCAAAATTATGAGTTAGTGACCAACTGTCAAACTTTGCAAAGTTATGCCCCAAAAAAAACAGGTTTTAAAGAAATTATGACATCACAAATACATCACTATAAACGAAGAATTGGTGAAAATCTTTTTAACTGAAACTATTGGACATTATAATATATGTTTTCAAAACATTATCGCAGTTAAAAATTTTCAGATTTTTAGGGCCAAAATTATGAGTTAGTGAACCAACTCCTTTACAGAGTCCAAAAAGCAAAGTGAATATCAAATTTTCAAAGGTCTAAAATTATACACATGTTTTTAATGAAACAATATTTTTCACAAAAATATATAGTCCATCTGACTTTGTCCACTTTGGACAAACATTATACAGGACCATTTACATCTTAGAAGGACAACTCAAGTATCAAGATGGACTAGTCCTTCTGACTAAGACTTTAAAAATATCCAACCCATTGCCTATTAAACAAATAATATATATTTGAATTGGTATTTACCTAATGATCCAACATCTTTTATATTTCTGTATTCATCATCAAAAAATAACATTTCAGTATACGGTAAACCACTCTTTTCATGAAATCTGAAAGAAAAAAAAACACAATTAAATAAAACTTTCACCAACTTAATTTTTCATCCCTCAATTTAAAGTGTAATTACAATTTTTGCAAAATATATTTAGTGACCAAAACCTCTATATTTCACTCTTTTTACGATCTGTTTCCAAATAAACAAGAAATGATTGTAACAGGATGCTGTTACGAAGTCTCCCAAACGAAGCTCCCATAATTCGTAATACCCAGGGTCACCTGACATTGGGCAACGTCCAGTGAAAATTGGTTTGGTCCAGTAAAGTTATATGCATTAGTGATGCCTGGGGACTAACCTTGTATATCATTCAAATCATCTTGGCATGACAAACCAGAATATATATGGTTTAGGGGTGGGGATCTCGACCATTTACAAGATACTAGAACATTGGGGGTGGGGAGGAACCCCTGGGGACTGGCCCTATACGTCATTCAAATGTTCATTACATGACGAACAGGAATATATATGGTTTAGGGGTGGGGATCTCAACCATTTACAAGATATTAGAACATTGGGGGTGGGGGAACCCCTGGGGACTGACCAAATACGTCATTCAAATGTTCGAGACATGACAAATAGGAATATATATGGTTTAGGGGTGGGGATCTCAACCATTTACAAGATATGAGAACTTTCTCAAATGGCAGGGGGTCGGGATGACCCCTGGGGACTAACCCTGTATATCATTCAAACCATCTTCGCATGACAAACCAGAATATATATGGTTTAGGGGTGGGGATCTTGACCACTTAGAAGATATTAGAACTTTCTTAAATGGCAGGGGGTGGGGGTGACCCCTGGGGACTAACCCTGTATTTCATTTGATGTGCTTTATCATGACAAACCAGAGTATATATGGTTTAGGGGTGGGGATCTCGACCATTTACAAGATATTAGAAACTTTCTCAAATGGCAGGGGGTTGGGATGACCCCTGGGTACTAACACTGTATATCATTCAAACCATCTTAGCATGACAAACCAGAATATATATGGTTTAGGGGTGGGGATCTTGACCACTTACAAGATATTAAAACTTTCTTAAATGGCAGGGGGTGGGGGTGACCCCTGGGAACTAACCCTGTATTTCATTTGATGTGCTTTATCATGACAAACCAGAATATATATGGTTTAGGGGTGGGGATCTCGACCATTTACAAGATATTAGAAACTTTCTCAAATGGCAGGGGGTCAGGATGACCCCTGGGGACTAACCCTGTATATCATTTAAACCATCTTAGCATGACAAACCAGAATATATATGGTTTAGGGGTGGGGATCTTGACCACTTACAAGATATTAGAACTTTCTTAAATGGCAGGGGGTGGGGGTAACCACTGGGGACTAACCTTGTGTAACATTTGATGTGCTTTATCATGACAAACCAGAATATATATGGTTTAGGGGTGGGGATCTCGACCATTTACAAGATATTGGAACTTTCTCAAATGGCAGGGGGTCGGGATGACCCCTGGGACTAACCCTGTATATCATTCAAACCATCTTAGCATGACAAACCAGAATATATATGGTTTAGGGGGGGGATCTTGACCACTTACAAGGTATTAGAACTTTCTTAAATGGCTGGGGGTGGGGGTGACCCCTGGAGACTAACCCTGTATTTCATTTAATGGGCTTTATCATTTAGAACATTTTCAATTAAAAAGATTGTGTCTATCACAAACCGTTTTCAATTTATATTCATTTGAAAATTTAAAAAAATAAAATCCCATAGGGTTCTATAGTAAAACCCTCTTTTCTTTTTGCCCCTCAAAGTACCCCTTTATAAATCCCATTGCACAAACAAAACCCTGATTGCACCACTAGACATGTTAGTCTAACATATTGTGAAACCCTAAGTTAATCTGACGAGCGGTTTTGGAGAACGGGTGCGGACAAGTTCAAATTTAAAAGCGGCGGAAGAAGAAGAAGAAGAAGAATAATAATAATAATAACTGAGCAAAAACAATAAGTCTTCCCAAACTTCGTTTGGGAGACTTAATAAAGAACTTAGGGTTTGGTCCTGTAATAAAGAGATACATGTATATACAATGTATTTGTCTCTTTTATGTATTACTGAAAATATTTGAAATAAACTGCTTCGCTGAGCGCAGCTGGATACGCTCCCAGAGGTCCAACCCTGAAAAGTTGGGGCAAAAATGGACACAATATTCAAGCTTGATACAGGTCTGAATTTGCATTGTTATTAAATATTTGACATATTATAGGTTTCTGAATAAATGAAGTCAAAGAACTTGAAATTGGTTATATGAATTGAATTTATATTCAATTAAAGATTTCTTGCTGTTGTGCAATACACTGTGCCGTTGCGCAATACTTAGTAAATCTGTTGTCAGACCATAAACAAATAAAGTTCAATTTCTTCTCAATGTCATATTTGAAATTTATGAAAATCTATAGGGAGCTTACATCAATAGATATAAACAATTCACCAAAGTTTCATGAGAATTGCTGACAGCATTTTTGAGTTATTGTCCAAAAACTGGAAAATCCCCCCTTTTTTAATGAATAAAACCCCATAACTCAGAAATGATAAATGAAAAATTTATAAAATCCTAAACGGAGCTTACATCAATAGATATATAAACAATTCACCAAAGTTTCATAAGAACTGCTGAAAGCATTTTTGATTTTTTGTCCAAAACTGGGAAATCCCCCTTTTTATACGACCGCAAAAATTAAAAAATTTTTGGTCGTATATTGGTATCACGTTGTCGTCGTCAGCGTCGTCCAAAGACAGATGGTTTCCCGATAATAACTTTAGTATAAGTTAATAGAAATCAATAAAATTTTAACACAAGGTTAATAACCACTAAAGGAAGGTTGGGATTGATTTTGGGGGTTATGGTCCCAACTGTTTAGGAATTAGGGGACAAAAAAGGGGCCCAAATAAGCATTTTTGTAGTTTCCAGACAATAACTTGTGTTAAAGTGTATGAATCTCTCTGAAATTATACCACAAACTTCCATACAACAAAGGGATGGTTAGGATTGACTTTGGGTTGTTATGGCTCAAACCATTTAGTAATTAGGGGCAAAAAAAAGGGTTTTTCTGGTTAAAGGACAATTGAGACAATTTAAAAGCAGTGTAAGGGAGGTAATCCAATTCAAATTAAAGAACACTGTTTGATTACCTCCCTTACACTGCTTGTAAATTATGTATTAAGAAATGATGATTGTCTTGAGGTGATTAGCTGTAAATTTATTTTTAGCAGTTACTATTAATTAATATTAATTTTAGCCATGACTATTTATGTCATTTTACATTTTAAAACTTTTATGATGTACTTAAATGGGTAAATTTGGTTGCAAACTGCATTAGAAATTTGAATTGGGATACTGACCATATCTTGAGGGAAAGAATTTTTTTGGGGAATAAGGGAAAGGGGGAGGTGAAAAAAATTGGAGGGGGGACAATTTTTCTCATTTCAGATTTCAGAAATTAAAAGAAAATTTCTTCAAATATTTTTTTGGGGGATTAATATTCAACAGCATAATGTATTGCACAAAAGCAAAAAACTGGGGTAAAATAAATTTGTTTTGGTAAGGGAAGGGGGGGGGGGGTGGTCAATTCGCAACAGCATAGTGTATTGCACAAAAGCAATAAATTGAATATAAATTCAAATCTTATAACCAATTTGAAGTTCTTTGACTACAGTTATTCTGTGTCAGAAACCTATTATGTGTCAAAAATTTAGTTACAATCCAAATTCAGACCTGTATCAAGCGTGAATATTGTGTCCATTTTGGCCCAACTTTTCAGGGTTGGACATCTGCGGTCATATCCAGCTGCGCTCAGCGAAGCAATTTATTTTATGAATAAAACCCTGTAACTCGGAAACGTCAAATCTAAAATATACAAAAATCGACAGGGAGCTCATGTCAATAGATATAAACAATTCACCACAATTTCTTGCAAGTTGGTGAAAGCATTCTTGAGTTATTGCCCGAAAACTTGAAAATCACCCTTTTTTTAATGAATAAAACCCCATAACTCGGATACGTAAAATCTTAAATTTATTAAAAATGAAAGGGAGCTCACGTCAATAGATATAAACAATTCACCAAAGTTCTATGCAAATTGGTTAAATTGTTTTTGAGTTAATGTCCGACATGTTGACGACGGACGGACAGATGGACAGACGGACGGACGGACAGACAGACGGACAACGGTATACCATAATACGTCCCGTAAACGGGCGTATAAAAACTATACATGCATACTACTGACAGCAGATCCTGTTCCTTTTTAAATTATTTTAAGAAAAATAAAATTGAATTGCTAGTCATTATCATTAATTTTTTTGTATTTGAATAATTTCAATATTTTTCTAAGAAAGACTGTCACCAATTTTTGTAAATGCAAAAACTCCAAAACTATGGGAAGGACACCAATTAAAATTGTTCATAGTTGTTGTGCATATTATTTAGTTGTGTCTTTTATTTTTTTGTAGAAATTGGCTAATTAATTTAAAAAAAACTTTTTATGAGAAAATAATTTTGGTGTTAACACAAAACTCCGAAAGTATTGGTAGTACACCCATGAAATTTTGCACAGTTGATGTGCATTATATAAAGACATATTATAATAAGAGCCCACATGGAGGATAAGGGAGCCCTATAGTTTTCACTTTTTCTATCAACATTTTTTTTTGTAAACATAGAAAACTAAAAAAGTATGGGTAGAAGGCCAATGAAATTTTCAAAAATTGTTTTGCAAAATATGCAGATGTGTCTGTTATTTTTTGGTACAATTTATTTTGGAAAAAAAAAAGTACTTTTCGTTTAAAAATCACAAAATTTGAGAAATAGTTTTTGTAAATGCAAAAACTCCAAATGAATGGGTCACAGGCCAATGAAATTCGGCCCAGTTGTGCATATTATGAAGATGCGAGAATTGCAAAGGCATCTTTAAACAAATTTTCTAATGTTTGCTGTATTACAGAATTTTTTTATGAAAAGCATCTTTCCAGGGTTCTTGGGGGCATACAGTAATATTTACAAACTAAAATATATATAATGATTTTGTATGTCATACTGACATGTTTTTAACAAAATGTGTAATCTTAAGATATGTAATCTGGATCTGATTACTGTAACTAACACTACCAGAGATATGTGTTAAAAATGTCTAAATACCATCTAAGCTCACAGGTTGTATTTGACCATGTTGGAGCCACAAGCTTGACTGAATCATTAAAGATCGGGATGCTCGATGCACATTGATAAAATGATTGAAGTGCACTTCCTAAAAAATACTACCAGTACTAGTATTTCCTTTGAACTTATTTCTAAATAACTTTTCCAATGTTATTTTGATAAGAGTAAAACTATCTTTAAATCCCCATTTTCAACTTTCAGATAATTCAAATCATCCAAGATTCTCTTTAAAGTAAACCTGGATTTAAATTAGAAAGAGATCATACTGAGGTGGCTATCTAGGAATTAACAATGTGATATGTGATAGCAAACAGACAAACTGACAGACTAAACTTGATTTGATACAATAACTTACTTCCTAAAATGATTGAGTTTACATCCTGGGTATATTTCACTATAATGGAAATATTTTTCCCATTTAAATAACTTGACTAATTCTTTTGCTTCTTCAATGGATGCTGTCCTGCAAGTAAAACAAAATGTCTATAAATTATTTAGTAAAATAACTATCTTCCTTTTCAGATGTCTTAAACAAATTATTTAATTTCATTTGCCCTTAATAAATTGTGTATATTTCTTATTTATGTATAATACTCACACACTTTTTAACCACAGGAATTTGTGAATTATTTTTTTTGCCAAAAAGTGTTGAGGAACTAACTTTTCCATCAATATATCTGTAATCATAAGGTCTATTTGAAACAAGATCTACAAAGGCACCAAGTAAACATTATTGTGTTTTTAGGTTTTTTTTACATGATTGAAAAGGAACGTAAAAAAAAGCTTTATATCACACTGGGTATCCTTATCCGAAACCAGGTAGAGATCAGAATCCAGAGGAGCAATTAATGAAGAGTTTATGACGGTGGGTAAGTAAAATCTGGATCAGATCGTGATTTAACTACCCACCTTTGCCAAACTTTTCATTAATTGCTCTTCGGGATTCAGATCCCTCTGTGGATTTGTGGATCAGGATCCCAGTGTGTATATGGTATATTAAACAATTTACAGATCTGCCTACCAGCCAATTTCTGTTTATAGTATCTTTAAATAACTAAACATTGAGCAATGAAACAAGAAAATGAATTCAGAGTCAGATAAAACCTGTACTTACAGTATCTGAGATAGGAACTTGACCCCAAAAACTTAAACCTTGATCACTGATCCATGAAATTAGGTCAAGGTCACTTTTGTTGCAGGCCATACAAAAACAAATAGAATTTGCAACACAGAAGATTTGTCAATTTAATTAATTGGAGTTCTATAAATTGGCAGCTTTATTGAATGACAGTCCCTAATATTGTTTTAACTTAAAATACCTTGATGCAATACCTAGCTGAAATCCCTGTTGATTCAAGTCCTGGAGAATTTTTGGTACATCTTCAAAATATTTTACATGTGTTCCAGATCTGTCATAAACTTTTCCATCACTAAAAAAAATTTACATAATTTCTGAAAATTCAAGTTAATTCATCTTCATCTACTTGTAAAAAATAGAGGCAATGAGGGAGCCTTTATTGCTCAACTAGCTGGTATCTGGTAAAAAAAAATAACAATACTGTGTTCTGCACTGGAAGGCCTCATCAATGCATATACACATTTTGTCCGCAACAAGTCAGTTTGATTTAATGTTGCATTTGAAATGTAGTTATTTACGAATTTATTGAAGATTTCTCAGTGTTCTATCATGTAAGGTCTAATCTAAAAATAACCAGCACTTCAAAGAAAATAATCACAAATTGTGATTTAACCCTATGTTCTATTTGTAGTAATAAACTGTTAACACAGAAATATGTCTCGCCTATTTGTTATTTTGATAATTCAAATGTTGAAATTAAAATAGCAATACATGTAAGTTATGCAAATATTCAAAGTCAATGAACCATGACTGAAGGTACAGGGCTAAACAATCTCCATGGAAATGAGATGTGCCAATGCTAATACAACTGCAAACCAAATACCATTGACTTTTCATAAGTCGTTCCCTTTAAACAAACCTAAACACAAACATTAACTTGTAAACTATGTAAAAGTTTCAAAGTCAATGAACCATAATTAGGGGGTGGGGTTATATAATCTCCATGGAAATGAAACTTGCAAATGCTAATACATTTGCATACCGAATATCATTGACTTAACCTTAGTGGTTCATCTTAAACTGACCTAATCACAAACCAATACATGTAAACTAAGCAAAAGTTTCAAAGTCAATAGACCATGACTGAAAGGTAAGGACCAAATATTCTCCATGGAAATGAGATGTGCTAATGCTTATACAACTGCATACCAATTATCATTGACCTACCACTAACAGTTACCCTTAAACTGACCTAATTACAAACTAATACATGAAAACTAAGCAAAAGTTTCAAAGTCAATAGACCCTGAATGAGAGGGCGGGGCCAAATAATCTCCATGGAAATGAGACATGCCAATGCTTATACAACTGCATACCAAATATCATTGACCTACCACTAGTGGTTCCCCATAAACTGACCTAATCACAAACTAATACATGTAAACTAAGCAAAGTTTCAAAGTCAATAGACCTTGACTAATGGAGTAGGGCTAAATAATCTCCATGGTAATGAGATGTGCCAATGTTAATACAACTGCATACCAAATATCATAGACTTACCACTATTGGTTCCTCATAAACTGACCTAATCACAAACTAATACATGTAAACTAAGCAAAGTTTCAAAGTCAATAGACCTTGACTGAGGGGGCGGGCCAAATAATCTCCATGGTAATGAGATGTGCCAATGCTAATACAACTGCATACCAAATATCATTGACCTACCACTAGTGGTTCACCAAGAACTAGACCTAATCACAAACTAATACATTGTTGACGCCACCACCGACGCCGGAAACAGCATACCTATGTCTCGCTTTTTGACTCTGTCAAGGCAAGACAAAAACAAGGTTGGGTAGTTAATTTTGCCCCAGAAATTACCAGTACAAAAAATGTATTTACCTCCCAGTCAATAATCCTCAAGTGGTCAATACTGGTCAATTGAAAATTTTTGGTGGGTTAGCTAGTGGTTTAACCCCATCACATTTTGTGTCTGAACCAAGTCCGACTATCTAGACCATTTTTCAGAGGAGTTAGGTGTTGGTAGTTGGTGATTGATTGATTGGTGTTTAATGCCACTTTCAGCACTATTGTGCTATTTCGTGGCAGTCAGTTTTTATTGGTGGAGGAAGGGGAGTGCCTGAAGAGAACAACTGACCTTCAGTAGGAAAACTCATAATCTTAGTCAATTAAGATTGGAGTTGAGCTCACCTGCCATGTGCAGGATTAGAACTCACAACTTCAGTGTTGACAGGTTAGTGATACAGTAAATTCCACTACTAAGACCACTCAGCCACCGAGGCCCATGGTAGTTGGAGTGGTCTGTTGTAATCTGTAATTCCTATTATCCTTTCCATGTATTATACACATTGTTTTAATTAAACTTTGATAATTTGAGAAATAACTTTTTCCAAGCAAAAATTGTTTGAAATAGCTATCATTAAACAGACAAGGGATCACAAACTGATGACAAAAGCTTAAATACAAAATTTTTGCTCAGTGAGTTTAAATTAGCAATTTTTAATTTCATTTATTATTTTGTAGTGTCCTCTTAATATGAAAGTTCACTCAAAGTTTTATTACTTTTAGCAAACCAAGTGTCATTTCAAGATCAAGAAAAACAAAATGAGTATTTTTTTTTTTATTCAGTTATCTTTAAATCTGTCTATAAAATGATGGTAATTTCATCAATTTTCTTTTAAAAAGTCAAATACATTTAAGTTTTAAAAGAATAGTATACACACGCTATCAGTTTCTTTGGGCACACACTAAAATTAATTTTGATTTGAAAACTGACACTTTGAACCTTCTTCTTTTATATTCTAAAACAAAATTGATGTATGTAAAATTCAAATAATTCTATTTTTAAAAGCTTTTTTATTACTCAAACAATAGTAACAAAATTCCTGTATTGGCTGTAATAGCATATCAAAGAAGCATAATAATATTCCATTCTCAAATTCATTATTTCAAAGGAAAAGTGTTTATAAATAATTACCTGTGCATTTTAAAAGGAGGATCTACATGTGTATCAACCCAAAAAGGCCATAGTGTATAATCTGAAAGACAAAAGTCATTGAACAGATAATATGACAAATAAAGTGAAAAGTTTTTTTTTTCTTTGTTTCTTCTGTTTCTGATTTGATGAGGGATGAAAAAATTGAATCACAGGTAAAAATCTCCAATGATAATGATGTTGATGTGAACCCATCAGGTCCGGGTACACAGTTATCGTCCTTTGATTTTCGTTGTCCACGAATATAGTCCCTAGTGTGGACAGTGTGTTACTTGTCGATTTTTTTTATACACCTTCCGAATTTATTTCTCCATGTTTTATGACTCAAATAGTAAGTAGGGGGGTGAAATGACACTGTAAAAAAATTTGGGTCATGAATTTTAAAGTAAAGTAGTGATTTGGTACAGCTGAAAAATGTTAAAAATTAGCACATCGGAAGCTGTCAAAAGATTTGAAGACCCCCTTAGCATGAAATTGTCCATATTTTGAGTTAGAGCCGATGAAGTTTTCTATAATTTTGATATAATTTGTCCCAAAAGTAGTACAACACACTGTAAAAATATTATTGAGAAAGCGCAGGTGGGATTTTTTTAATTTCCATTTATTGTCTAAAAGAAATGCACTACGAAATAACTGTGTACTCGGACCTAAGAGGTGAAATCAGGAAATATAGAATCTGTACTTTGGCAACATCCCTGAATGATTTGATGGTGTCAATTTATCAAATAGCATAAAACTAAAGGATTTAAACTTTTATTTGATAGAATTTCTGCAAAAATGACCAATTTTGGCATTTTATGGTCAAAATAAGCATTTCATAGCTTTTTCAATTTTGATGCATAAGTGACATTCTGACTTTCTATCTGACAGGTTTTTATGTGTCAATATTTGTGTTTCTATGTTTCAATCCAGTTGTATTACTCATTTGTGAACTCTGAATCTACAGAAAAGAAGATTATCTCAGACAATATGCGCAAAATGTGTTGTATATATGATCATCGTCTAACGCCCTGTTTGGATCAAGTTAAATGTGAGGAGCTTGGAACATAAAAGTTGAAGTCCATTATAAAGACCTCACTAAATTTGTATAAAAAGCACTTAACAATGTCTTTTGTACCTGTTTTATGTCACAAAATACCTTTCTTTTCTTCTGTAGGATAGCAAGTGGTTCAAATATAAGCCTGTTGAGACTAAAATTGCATGCATGTTTTTCACTAAAAAGTGAAAAATCTTTGTATCAGACCATACTGTCTGCAAAAAAAGTTGAATGCAAGAGTCTTTTTGTGCTCAGATTTATTGTATCATGTCACCTGAGTATAGAAATGATAGAAAAGACACAAAATTTTATTTCATATAGCTTCAATATGCATTTTTAAATGTAAATATGTGATACGGCCTAAATTGACCCTAAATTATTTTCAGTCTTACTTGGCCTAAGACCCTTTTAAGCTAATGTGATATGTTATTTGTAAGTTTTCTTTCTATTTAAAGTACATTAAATACATATGTAAGGATTATTTATAACCAAAAAGCTTTACAAATTTAAAATTGCTGGAAAATATTACATCTTCATGTAAGGCCCCCCTTCATTGGAAAACCTCCATTTTTAGCCACAGGCTCATATAAATTTGACTTTTTAATAATTATGATAAGTCTGATGAATCAAATGAGTACTCTATTGCTTTTAATACATAATATATTATATATTAAGGCATTTCAAAAGTATTTTTTTGCAATATTTTAATTTTTTAAGCCTCAATTGTTGATAGTTGAAAATTTTCAATTTTAACGTCTAAATTTAACACTCAAAGTTCAATATAGAATTAGTCATATTGTCTATAATATATATCCTATTGCCATGAAACTTTGTAAGCAGTCTTATAATTTAATAAGCTTTAGTCATACCAAGTTTCATTAAGATTGGTCAACTTTTTCTACCCTATTAGGTCCGGGTACACAGTTATCGTCCTTTGATTTTCGTTGTCCACGAATATAGTCCCTAGTGTGGACAGTGTGTTACTTGTCGATTTTTTTTATACACCTTCCGAATTTATTTCTCCATGTTTTATGACTCAAATAGTAAGTAGGGGGGTGAAATGACACTGTAAAAAAATTTGGGTCATGAATTTTAAAGTAAAGTAGTGATTTGGTACAGCTGAAAAATGTTAAAAATTAGCACATCGGAAGCTGTCAAAAGATTTGAAGACCCCCTTAGCATGAAATTGTCCATATTTTGAGTTAGAGCCGATGAAGTTTTCTATAATTTTGATATAATTTGTCCCAAAAGTAGTACAACACACTGTAAAAATATTATTGAGAAAGCGCAGGTGGGATTTTTTTAATTTCCATTTATTGTCTAAAAGAAATGCACTACGAAATAACTGTGTACTCGGACCATCATTGGACATAACAATCCAATTGTACTTATTATGTACTGTATCTTTACAATTTCTGTCACTTTATGTCATACTACATAATGTATCATGATTGCTGCTTACATCTGATTTACAACTGTTGCTTGTAAATGTCCCTCCTGGGACCTTACATAGAATAATAAATATTTGAATTTGAATTTGCTGTTACTACAAGGAAATAATTATCAGAGTGACAAAGAAAAATTATGTTATATATAGATAAACAGTGAGTTAGTTTAAAATAAGTTCTAAGACTAACAATCATTCAAACTGGAACAAGTACCTGTAACACAGTACATACATAACTATTTTAATGGTAAACAGTCATATCATATTCATTCCAGAATAATTCACAAACTACCTCAGTGGTCGTCATTTTGGATTTTGGATCAGCACTAAAAGCACAAACTTGATGATTCTTTGGTCTATCATTAGACCATTTACACATAACTTAAATCAATGATACATGATCAGTCAGGGGACTTACTTAAATGAGTGATTTTCTAAATCACTGATTCAAGTAACATTATGTCCATAAAGGTTAGAAGTAAGAGTTGTCTTTCTTTAATAATCATCTATTTAAGTAGTACAAATTAATCACTAGACTAAGTGATTTAATTTTATTGTAGCTTTAAATATAGAATACTAATGATCCAGGGACTAATTATGTTGATAAAATTATCAGAACCAACATCTGTGTTGCTAGGATGACCGGGTCATGTCAGGTGATGACCTTGTACTAAATCTAGGATAATGACATAAAAATCACTTGTTTAAGTATCATACCTTAATTTCCTTCCAAAAAATCACTTCTTTAAGTATCATTATTTTAATAAACCCCCCCCCCCCCCCCCCCCCCACTAATTTCAACACCCCCGAACAGTGAAATTTTGATTGCGAACAGTAGAATTTTATTACATAATCTATAAGATGAAACCTTGAATTTTACAGGAAAAATACTCCCACTACTTGGAAAAATCTGTTAAGAAAGTATCAGTTCATCATGTTAAGCCATTTTTATAGCATTTTTTCAACTAAAATAGAATTTGCAGCTAAATGATTGCATCAAAGGCATAAACCTTGCTGCTTAAAAGAAACAAAAAGTTCATTTTTTTCAATTTTACTAATGAAAAGATATTATCTAAACCTATGTGTTTAAAATTTTGGTAAAACTACAAAATCACAATTTGTGACAAAACTTTGAATTTGCTACTTAAATTAGTGATTTAAAAATCACTTATTTCAATAAGTCCCCTGACTGATGAGAAGATGTTTGGGTGAATCTCCATTGTCTCCCATGTTAAAATATGTTTCACAGTTATGAGCATCTTTAATTATGGATTAATTGATTGGTGTTTAAATTCTCTTTTAGCACTATGGGCTATATTGTGGCTGCCAGATTTTATTTGTGGAGGAAGCAAAAGTTACCGAAGACTGCGAAGAGAACCATGTCCTTCTGCACTAAAAATGACAATCTTAGTCAATTAAGATTGGAGAGGAACGCACCTGCCATGTACAGGGTTCAAACTTACAACCTCAGTGTTGACAGGCTAGAGATACCGTAGATGAACAGGGGCAGATTTAGGGGGTGCCTGCCCCCCCCCTTTACAGAGCTTTATTTATGGTTAATCCAGACTTTTTACCACTTCCACTACAAATTTTGTCTAGTCCCCTTTTTCAAAATCCTGGATCTGCATCTGATAAACTACTTAGACAACTCGACCACTTATGTCCCTTGCTTTTGGATTCAATTAGCATTTATAGAGGACCATCCTACATGCAGCTGGGATTAATATTTATAATATATTTATATAATAAGGAGAAAATTCCATAAGGAAGGCGTCAAAGCAAAAAAATAAATAAAATAGCCTTTTAAGACGTCAAAATTATTTGGACTAGTTTATTTTATGAAACCAATAGTTGCACTGTAATGTGATTAAGCAATAATCCAACTACAACTACCAAGGTGTGAAAATTCAATTACATGATGAAATCAATAGTTTCATGAGTAATCTATTTATTCAAGAAAATTGTCTACAGATACAGTGTAGCTTACGATTGACAAAGTTTGAGCATTTCCCTTTGTTGTCATGTTGGATGTCTACATGCACGTGCGAAAATTCCTTCCTAAATCACATAAATTCAACTTGTTACGCTGACTGCTAAACTTTAGAAAGTTTTCTAAAAAGTTTTGATTTCTTCAAATCTAACTTGCTAAATTTATTATATATTTATGATTGACAATCCACAAGTTGGATAATTAGTCAAAACCTTGGCTTCATTATTTTTTTTATTTTTGCTTTTTGAAAAAAAACAACAAACATGTTTATTCATTCTTGCTTTATTACATGTGATGTTTTTTAACAATGTACTCAATTTAATTATTTTAGGAAATTATAAGAAGGTACAATACAAGTTTAAGAATAATATCAACTAAGCAAAAATGTGGCAGGATAATCAACCAGGTGACAGTGGCCTCTTACTGGAAGAAGAGCAACTATTTCATGTGTTTAGAAGTGAAATTCAAAATTTTTAGAAAACCACAAAAATATGAACCAAAACTATGTTAAATGGCATGTTAAATTTCAAATTTATGTTTAATGGCATCTTTCAAAAATATAATTCTTCGTACAAAAAATCAATCAACTCCCCCCCCTCCAACCAAAAAAAACCTTTTTCCCAAAAAAAAGACAGACATAAAAAAAAGGCATAAAATAAGATTAGGTGCGATTTGACCAGGTGTCGAATTGACCTAAATTAACTTGTACACGTCATAATGTTCCTTTTCATTTATTTTCTCAATAGCTAGTCTTTCTGGAAAAGGTATCACACAATAACAGTGTTGTTGTTTTTCGTAGATGACTTATAAGAATTAATCTACAAAATTATCTCTATTACCTAAATCAAAAACTATCAACTTAGGTGAATGTCCCATATTTTTCGCCTCTCGGGCTAGAATTATTTTTTGAGTTATCGCCCTTGAACAATTAGTATTTCCGATTAACAAGTGCGCGCTTAGCAACCAATCGTATTGCAGTATTTTCTAGCACACGAAGCATGCAAGTAAAATGAATACTACACACCTACAGTGAATTATCACTTTCAACAGTGGTGTTTGTCACACTTTGGAATGGATACACTACTTTCTATTAACGGTAAGAATAAACAGAGTGTGACTTTATGTAAATAAACTGCAAACAAAATAATGACTATTAGAAATTATTAACAGTGTTATTTAAGATGCATTTGTGTTGTATGTCTTGGAGCATTGCATCAAGCATCTTCTAAAAACAAATCTTTTTTAACACTCTGCTTTTAACTCCCATTAAACAAGAAGAGAACTTTTCTCGGTCTGTCACAATATAAAGATTAACAGTAGTGCATATCTTCAAATTACCTTGAAAAGGGAACCATTCTTTCCTTCATGTCCAGTGGCAAATATTTCATGCACATTCAGGACAAGAACAAATTAACGATTATAACAATAGGTAGGTTCTACAAGGAAGTGTGTCCAGGATGAAAGATGGGAAATTTGGATTGCCACAGATTGGAAAATGAGGGTTTGTTGAATGGATAGCCGGGCATGCAGAAATTTTTGCAACAGGTCACCTACGGACCATTCAGAGAGTTAATGCAAGTGTTCGTTAACTTGTAAAGAGCCCTGCAATCTCCCATACTGGGCAACAGATTTAATGTACACATTCCAACCGAATGTGCCTGCCTATTTAACTTATATGGCTCAACCAAATGGAAGCCCTATTTTAGCATTAGGGTTTTACTGCCAGACAGGAGAGGTCTAGGGCCTAGGGTGGAAGTTTTAAATGGTAAGTGTACTATATGCACTTAAGTTAATGGGTATTGTAATTCTTGAGTTAGGCAATTGCATATTAATTGTATTGCTTATTTTCTGAGGGTCCAGTGGTTAATGTTTCATACATATAGGTTAAAGTAGATGGACTTCTAGGATGGTCCTGAAATTTGTCACTCTAGATTGAGTTCCTGCAGACAGCTTAGAACAAGGCTTTTTGGTAGCATATTTGATACATGTATTGCCAAACCTTCTTTGAAAAAAAAAGATAGAAAACACAAAACAGAAACTGTAGAAAAAGCTCACAACAATGAACTAGGTAGGTATCAAAAATAAAGCGCAATGACTACCTTTATGAATAAAAGGAGATGTATGGTATTGTATATCAATTATGCAATTTGATTTTATTATTCTTGCAAGCCATATAATACATGTATATATATTCTTTATTCCAAACGTAATACTGCTTATAGCAATCTGCATCAAAATCTTTTGCAACTACATTTGTTGTACTAGTCAGAAGACAAATATTCAGACACTTTCCTTATGTTTCTAAAAGTTTTGCAAAAAGTTTACTAGTCTGAATAAAATTTTACTAGTCTGGGGCATCAGACTAGTGGCTGACAGTACAGACTATCAAGTACAATACAAAATAAATAGAATTATCAAAAAGATTATGCTTATTTATGAATCCTACTAAATAATGTACATGAATTAGACTTATTTATCAAAATAAAATTTTGAAATGTTCAAATCTACAACAACATTTTTGTACTTGTATTAGCAGCTCTGATAAAATTTTTGGCTATAAGTTTAATGCATATTTTTTAATAGCTATTTAAATGAATTGAGACACGAACAAAGATCAATTTTAGTACCAAAGTTAATATAAAAAGGTTTGAACAAATCTATCGGCTACCAAAACTCTTCATAAATTGTTTGTCAATAATTTGGAATGAATGACTATCGCTTTTACAAATTTAATTTACATACTCAATTTCCTAAATCTGTTAAAATTTAAGAAAGCTCAATTGGAACAGTAGGGGAAAATTCAATTTTAATAGATGGCAACTTCACATTCAGTCATATTTTAGATCTGAAGCTAGATCAAAGGTAGAAGAAAATGGCTTTTCTATTTAATTTTAGAGTTAGCTGTATTTTTTTTGCATTAATATGGATAAGGATCTTGTATAAGATAAAACTGAAAAGAATTTTTTGGTTAAGCGCTTAAGTTTGTAAGACTTTTATGATTTGTTGACAACTATTTCTGTAGTACTTTTTATACGCCCGTTTACTGGACGTATTATGGTATACCATTGTCCATCTGTCGTCAACATGTTGGACATTAACTGAAAAACGCTTTTACCAATTTTCATGAAACTTTGGTGAATTGTTTATATCTGTTGACATATCCTTCCTTTGAATTTTTATAAATTTTAGATTTTACGTTTCCAAGTTACGGAAATTTTATTAATAAAAAAGGGGGAATTTTCCAGTTTTCGGACAATATCTCAAAAATGCTTTGAGCAGTTTTTATGAAACTTTGGTGACTGGTTTATATCTATTTGAATAAGCTCCCTTTAGTTTTTTTTTATAAATTTCTTGTATGACATTGAGGAGTTATGGAACTTTATTCGTTGAAAAAGCGACGGATGTATCATGCACTCATGGCAGAGCTATTTATTTTCAAAGTCATACATTCATTTGACGGCTTTTTATTTTGAAATCATTTAAAGTTTTGTGTGTTTTTTAAAACCATGTGATACATGCACATGTTATTTAATACAAAATCAATCTACAATGTAACAATATTTTTTCATGCATTAAATGAAAAGATGGGTAAAAAATTGTCAATAATTGATAAGATTTTTGGAACAAACGCATATATTTGAACTCATGGATTTGTCTGCCATTACATATGCATTTTAGTGAAGAACAAAGGGCATTTCAAGTAATTCTTTTGAATTTCATAGATTATATCACACAGGGTTTAAAATCAATTGTAAAACTATGGTATTTAAAAAGCAGCTGATTATTGTTCTAATGAATATGTACATATATAGAATTATACTTATTTAAAGCTTTGTTTAGTTTTCGTCTTAACTTATATGTATATATATCCCTTTGAAAGATTTATAACAAAGTGAATTGAAGATATGTAAAGTCTTTTGTCAAATATGATTTAATAAAGGTTCAAAATGTTCATCAAAATTGTTGGATTAAAGAAGAAAAAATAAGGATTTTAAAATGTTCACTCGAGTTTAAGGTAAACATTTTGAAAATATGATTTCAAAAGGTCCATGGTTAATGTTTTGATAAAACACTTTGCTGGTAGATTCAAGAGATGTCTTTAAAAAAAATATTAACAAATAATAAATTATATCAACACACTCCCATTGTCTCATAATATTACATCCAATCTACATCTAAGAAGCTACTGAATGGAATTCAGCCAAAATTATATTACTACCTCTATATGTAGTCTTATTGTACATGCATCCTTGTGCAACATGTTGCAACGAACAGAAATACCGGGCCTCAGTCTGTCCGTCTTTGATCTGATTCTCTCCGTCCCATCTTGTTAGTGCTCTCACATGTACAATTCTTGTCAGATTTTAATAAAACTTGTATCATAGGTTTATATCAGCAAATGTCGTTGGACAAATTTGAAAATCAGTGCTGATCAACCATTTTAAAAAGAGTTATGTCCCTTAGAAATATTAATTTATATGATTTGATTATAACTAATGTTGTGACTATGAACTCTTTAATAAGAAACCTTATTATGGTACCAATTTTGTTCAAATTGTCTGGCCACTGTGTTCCAATAGATATTGCACATAAAAATGTATAAATACTTGAAAATAGTAAGATGATACCAATCAATAAAAAGGAATATTTGTTTAGGGAAGTATTCAGTTTTGTCAATAGACTACATGTACTCTATATACATGTATATTTAACTAAACAATTAGAGCAATTTTATTTATTATAAACGTGTCTGTATACATTGAACAAGGCCTAAATTAATAGTTCATTTGTGGACATTTTCCTTTTGGGGGTTGTATAGCGAAAACCTCCTCTCACAAATAACTGAATTGATTTTAGCCAAACTATAAATACTTATTTGTTTTATGCCTTGTTGTGTTTTTTGTATAAAATTTTACATTAAATGCTATTCAGGTGAAATTTTTCCAAAGTTCTAAGGGTTTTCCCCTTTGTTACATGCTAGATTCAATCCACTAGGCTAGCTTAGCCTTGGAATCAGATTTCAACCAGTCTTGTGAAGTTGTCTTAGTTGTGTATCATGTAATAGATTTTTACATTTAGAATCTAAAAGTAGATAAGTAACGATAAGTTGAGAAAAAGGGGCATCCTTTTTGTTACTTTTTTAATAAGTCACACTGTGACAGTCTTGTATGTTTTTAAAATTTTCAAACAATAAAAAATCCAAGGATTTATATAGCAAGATTTTACTGAATAAATCCATGACAAAACCAAGAATTAATCATAATTTCCTTAGATATGCATAAGTTTAAAACATTTGATCTCAATATTGTAGAAACTCGGAAAAATTATCTATATTTACTTACATATTAATGAATTAAAGAATCTGTGATTTTGTCAGGAGAGATAATTTAAGGATTAACATGGGCAATTCAAAGAGGGATCATCTTCGATAGTGATTTAGCCAAGATGTGGAGGAGGAAATAAAGTTGATTTGATAGAATTTAACATTTCTGCAAGTCATCCAAATTTTACCTTATTTTGTAAAAATGCAAGAAAACAAGAATATCTATTTCCATTTTGTTTTATTACCTGAAACCTAAAAAAAGAAATTAGCCGTTTAACTATGATCTACCTACTCTATAAAACCTGCATAAGATATTTCCATTTTGAACCCCAAATTTCTGGAATAGATTAATTATGGTGACATATTTTTATTCAACTTTGATATATATGTTTTAAACTTCAATTTCCAAAGGACTTATATCCATAAATTATCAACTTTAGCATTTTATTGAGTTGACATCTGTATACATGTACCTGTAATAAAATATCAGAAACTAATATTATGATTGAGATTATTAAGTATTCTTTTAAAAAATGTAATCTTTGAAATTTTTTCTTGTTTTTTTTTTTTTTGCACTGATTCACATTATTGGAAATATAATAATTCAAAACTAAGGTACTAGAAATCTTAGGTCATATTTAACTGTTTATTCTGTAAAAAAAGGAATTTCTTGAATTAGTAAATATTCAAAAAGTACCTTAAGTACATGTTCTAAATTTATAATAGATGGCACATTTATTGAATTCATCTAAATTTGATTAATTGTAAACATCAAGACTGGACAAAATGTCATTCAATCAATTCAAATTTATTCCACCATATGGAAAGGTTGTATGTATTATGATTGAAGCAAGTCAGTTAGATTGATTTAAGCTATGGTAGGTAACCCAAAGTAAAATTCCCTTATCATTTAATGAATAGAAAATAAGGAAATTTTGTATTAAAATTTAATGTTCAATAGTCATCCAAATGAAATAGTATCCCATGTTTATAATTAATTTATAGATATAATAGAAATAGCATTAGAACTGGCTAGATTATACATGATCTCTTTGTTACACATATATTCCTTGTGACATACCATCACAGGAAATCTTACACAATTGTACATTGGTTGAAATAAATAGATAATCTTTCGTTTCAGAATTATAGGACATTGTTGACGAAGCAGAAAAAAGAGAATGGCTGACGAGTTTGAATCCAATGGTTGGGCAGCAATCCATAATGCTGCCCACAGAGGTTTTCTTAAGTCAATAGATTTCTTCCTGAGTGAGGATCAAGAGTTTATAGAGTTAGAAACCAGAGATGAACTTCACATGACCCCATTTTTATGTGCCATAGATGGTAACAAGATTGAAGCTGTTGAGCATCTGATGAAAGCAGGAGCAAAGGTTGATGTCATCAATACTCATAATCATGGAGCAGTTGAACTATGTGCACTCAAACAGTACATTGAGATGCTAGAATACCTGATCAAACTGGAACATCCTCAGATACCAGTATGGAAGAATATCATAAGATTTTTGAGCTCAGAAAGTGAGGAAGAAGCGGAGTCTGCTGGAAAATGCCTGGAAATTTTAACCCTTGGTAGCAAACAAGATGGTATTAATCCAAAATGGGAGCCATTTTATAATCATGGTGGTGTAACTACTATTGTCAAGGTTGCCAAAAGCTCCATTAGTGATGAAGCAAAGATACCAGCTTTCAGAACTTTGCTGAATATCATTGAACGGAATGAAGTCAAAGAACAGGTAGCAAGCTCTGGGGGAATTCCAGTATTTATCAAATTACTTAAGTCAAACAACCATTTTGTTGTACAGCTTTCAGCAGAAATTCTCAGAGAATTAGCCCCTATTCCTTCCTTTGCTGAACCCATTACACAGAACAATGGAATACCAAGTCTTGTGAAAGTTTTGCAAACAATTCACAATCCTGAAGTGTTGATTCCAGTTACGGATTGTCTTGGAAATTTAGCAGAAGCTGATAACAAATATCAATCACAGATTGGTAATGCCCAAGGTTGTATGCAGCAGATTGTTACTCTTTTGGAAGAAAATCGAGAAAGAGAATTATTACACGCTCTAGCAAGAGCAGTTGGAAAAATTGCAAATGATGATCAAAACAATCAAAACATGTTTGTTAGTCTTGGGGTGACAGTTCATATTGTTACACTTACACGACTGAAAAATAAAGACGTTCAAACAACCGCCGTGGAAGCTATTCATAAATTAGCAAATAACAATCCAGATACTCAAAAAATCATTGTTTCTGAGAAAATACCAGAACTTTTGTTGAAACTATTAAAAGACAGTAGAGCAGAGCAGGTTCAGGAAAAAACTGCTCTTGCTTTGTGGGCATTGGCGGGAACAGAGTTTGACGTAAAGCGGTACATTGCTGAAAAGATTGGAGTAAATTTATTAGTTCAGTTTTGCAATACACTGTCAGACAATTTACATTATATGGGTTCAGAATGTCTTGGAATATTAGCTCAGGGACCATTAAATTTCCAGTCTGAAATATCTGCTTCAAATGGTATTACTCCATTACGGAAGCATTTAGGATCAGACAAGGAGTACATAGTGTTGAGTGTTATCAAGACCATACGTTACTTGTGTTTAGGAGTAGGATATGTGACACACAAGAAAAATCAAAACATGATATTACAGTTGACAGGAATCAAATCTTTAGTAGCTTTAATGATTCATTCAAGATCTGAAGAGATTCAGATTGAATCAGCTTTAACGCTGGCGGCAGTATCATTAGGTGAGTTAACTTTGATTTTAGAAATGAAGAATCGGAAATTAGTCAGTTAGTTAATTATAAAGTAGTGTATATCCTTGTTTTAAACATCCTTTAAGGAACAGTCAGTCACAATTGTTATGTTATTAGACTTGTTTCAGATGTATGGGTCTGACAGGCCTTCTTCAGTCGAAAACTATTTGCCTAATGTTTCTGGGTAGTATAGCAAAATCATTTCACATTAATTTCACTGTGTTGGTTGTGAAATTGTATCATGAAGCATAGATAGAAAGTTTTATGTGGAAGAATGCTTGTGAGAGTAAAATCCCTGGATAGAGTGAACAAATATGATGCAAAATTTGAAGTTTTGCTGGAGACAATGAATTATAGCTAGTAATAAACTAAATGATGTAAAACATGAATTTGTGATCAAATATATTGCATGCAATGACGTGTTCCCTTTTCCAGTTAATCCATAAGTCAGAATACATTGTATATATGTTTTAGATGAACTGGCACTGTAGCAATATTAAATCTACAATGTTATTTTCCAGTAAAGGTAAAAACTTTAAAGCATGGTTGGTGACAGATACATTTATTTGCACATGGATGGAGAACATCTGCATGTTTTTCGTAAGGATATGGATAATTTCACAGAGAATAAGTTCAGTTTGACAGTGTCACCAAGGTGGAAGGAATGCATGTCTTTTGCATTGAATTTTTACTAAGTTTAATATAAAGCGTTGTAAAATAAAGCTTGAAGAAATTTGTAGAGTTAAATTTGGTACATTCAAATTATAGGTGCTTTAAATAAATCTTGTGTTAGAATAAAAAACTAATGAAATACCAATTTAAACACTGGTTACCAAATATATTTCAAAATTAATACCTCTAAATGTGATGTTGCATTGAATGCAGGAACAAAACGATTTTTTTAGCATAAATAAAATGGCATTTATATTAATTTGACAAATTGTGAAAGGTTGGTGTGAACTGTAGCCCACATTTAATGTTCGTTCAAATGATTTCATATTTTCTCTTTAAAAGTCAAACCTGTCAACCTTTCAAAGCAAGCTTTATCTTTGATTAAAAATTGGTAATCCAGATAAATATTTCAATCAAGTGGGGTAGAAAATAATCAAAAGCATTTGTATTGAATATTTTCCAGCAAAAAAGATTGTCAAATTGTTTTGCACATCTTATCCCTTTGATTTTTTACCTTTGAATCTTTCTTCAATGTCATAGTGCCAATAGTTTTTTGTTACAACCTGCAATATTTAGGCCATTGTGGATTGTTTAGCTTTTCTGGTCCAAAGAGACATGTTGGAGTCATGTCAGCTTTTGCCTTCAGTGGACAAGTTGAGAAATATACCAACGTTACCATGGTTACTCCTCAGATTAGTTGTATAGTCTCATTGTCCCTGCATTTAATACTCTTTCAAAATTTTTACAACAATAGTGTTCTGATAAAGGTATTTCATATCTAGATTTACCAACCGACACCCATAGCCGTTGAAATTTAAAAAAAAAATCTTTTCTTTATTGCCTGCATAAACTTTTGAAAGCACTTCATGTTTTTTTTCCATTATATTTTGGGGCTCATGCAGTGGCATTAATAATCTGGCAGCTCCACTACCCTAGGATGGGGATGTGTCTGACAAATTTTTGTTTTTCATAATTCTTTTACCAAAACTACAGTGAAAATACGTTAATTTCAACTTGATAACTAAGAAGTTAGATTATAAGCTTGGTTAAACTGACTCTTCAAAGATTTTAGTCTTGTCCTGTTACAGATACATGTATATATATTTCTCTTTTTCTTAGCCAATTAATCCTATTCCAGACCTGTTGATTATTTTTATTTAATCAACATGTGGTTTGTTTGATTCTCAGTTCTTCATTGGTCCAAATTCAATTATGACGTCAAATTTTCTTGTTTCCTCTGAACTTCAATTGTGACGTCACTAAAAAGTTGACCATGCCTGATGACGTTACATAGAAAGAGCACATCTTTTTTTGCAGATCGCTGGAAAAGAAGGATAATGTTTGTCTGCATATCGTCTAAAAATCATTAGAGAAACAGATTCCACCACTAAATCTGGTGCAATACAATGTTTCTCTACTCTCAACAATTAAATACTGTAAATTCAGAAATTATTGCGTGCATTTATTGTTGTGATTTTGTCATTTTAGACTAAAATGCGATTTTAATTTTTGCGATATTGAGAAAAATCCTGTTTAATTCATATAAAAAATTTCAAAATGCGAGTTTAAATTATTGCGATTATAACCCTGTCGCATTTTATGCAATAATAAAAACATCGCATTAATTTCTGAATTTACAGTATATATCATGTTTTCCTACCAAAGATACTTATTATTATACTTTTGATTTGTGAATGAGATGTTAACTACTTTTTAGATACAGCCTTTTCATGGTAATTCTATGGAAACATTTTTCATAATAAGATATCAGTCTTTGACTTAGGATGTGTTGGGCAGGTCATCATCTCCAGACCCATTATCACTATCAATGTTTTCTTGTACAAGTTTTCTTGGCCAAAGTATTTGGTGGATTTTTTTTACAGTGACAACCATCAAAGAAAACTTTTATCAAAAACTAAGACAGACTTAGATGGAATAAAATCTCATCCTTTTTTTCATGAAACTTGGATGGACTTGGACAGCATTTATCAAATCACAGTGCAGTTTTTTCTTTGACCAAATATTTGATGAAAAACTTTGATAGTGACAACAGATGAGTTGGACCAAGTTTACCTGGTCAAAGAAAATTTCACCAAGTTAACTTTAATAGTGACAACAGGGTTTTAGATATTGTCAGTGTAAGGGTATTGACCTTATAAAATTAAGCAGACAGACCAAAATAATTGGATACATCATAATAAAGAAAAGGGTAAAAATGCCTTTAAAGCCAGAATAAGCTTCTTTCAGTTTTTGCTGACTTATGATAGCATTTTGTAATCTAAAATGTAATGTATGAAAAGTAATTTGCTATGGTAGGTTGTATACTATGCTTGGTTTACTTGGAGCAAACAAAGTTTACACATAAATGCACATTGACATAATATGATTTCAATAAACATTTCCATTTCTTTATAGAATAAATTCACAATTCTACAGTCCTAATTATTTATAAATGATTTTAATTTATTTTGTACTCAGCTCAATTTTAAAACTGCATGAGAAATTCAATATTTTTATGCATAAGCATATTTAAAAATTTGGCTTTTATCTCAACTTTAATAAATCTTTCTTTATACAGTCATTTACTGAGAGAAGGTTAAAAGGACTTGAACACTTGAACACTTTTCTCAATAAACTTTGTAAATCTTTTTCAATTACAATTTTATCCAGGTTTGTAAAGTGATTGTCAGTAAAGTTGAGCAACATCCAAAAGTTTATTGATCTTGAGAAAGTCAATATTGATAGTATATAAATTTGTATTTTATGTGCACCATTGGTCTCATGCTGTGGTTTAACAATTTTTATTGCATGCAATTTTATGCAGTTTAAAAATCATATACTTTATAAAGACTTTATTGGGGCTGATTAAATGTGTTGTCAGACAGTATTGATTATAGATATATTTTCATAAATCTTTCCAAAAATCTACTTATTTCCTCAATGTGCTTTAACCAAATAAGTTCTTGCTAATATATGACAATGACACAATGTCACAATGTATAATTTTTATAAGATTCTCCAGAGTTTTTCATGTACAGAAAACTTACAAATTTAGGCTAGATCAAATGTGATGACTTTAAACACTCAGATAAATCTAAACAAAAATAGCTCTGGAAAAGTTTTTGTCTTGTTTGATATTTAGTGAGACTGAGATCAACAGCAAGGTTAAATAGCTAGATTTTGGTTGCTTATTTATAAGATAATGAGATGATGTTTGATTGCCAATGAGACAACTATCCATTAAAGACCAAAAGTACAAAGATGTGAAGTACCACGTCACTGGTCTTTTTGTAGTATACTCGCCTCAAGAATGGAAGTTTGCTTGGTTTAATCCCCAGGCCTTGTTAAACTAAAGACTTGAAAATTGGTATTTGCTGCTTCTCCCCTAAGGACGCAGCGTTTAGGATTAAGAGCCAAGATTGGTCAATCAAAGTAAGAATAATGTGTGCAGGTAGGGTTACTTGTCTCCCTGTGAACTGTTATCTTGTGAATTAGCACATTAAAAAATCCAGCTCAGCTTGTCAGTCTATTACAAAGCACTGGGCTCATATTATCATATCAACATGTTCTTGTCCATAATATGGATTTAATTTGTCATTGAACATTAGACATCCATTCGTCCATCCACAAAGATGTGAACAATTACAGGTGACACTTGATGGCTCCAATTATGAGCAGGTTGGGAATTGCCAGCAGTACCCTAGCTATACAACAATTTTCAACACTCAAGTTGTGTTAAATCTGAAATCATAATGACTCCCCTGGAACATTTTATGATATTTGCTGAAAAAATCATATACACTGTATTTGTAATTTTCATAATCTAGAAAGGTTAGGAATAGGATAAGAGTTTGAATATTATGTATTGATTTTTCTTCTGTTTAAAATCCAGTGGCAAATATTTCATGCACATTCAGGACAAGAACAAAGGATAACACAAAATAAGTGATGGTAATATTACGAATCTTATACACATTAACATGTTACTACAGATTCTTTTATTTTAGTGGATTGTTGATTTCATGTAATTGCCAAAGTCTGTATACAAGCCTATAGAAAATTTATAATTCATTGAACATTTAAATTTGTGGTTTTATTGCCTCTACCCACGAAATACAAGAAAATTGGTATCCCACTTGAATGAATCCACAGTATTCAGTCAGTTTACTAGTAAATTATTAGTACTTACTTTTCTAAATGATTGGTAAAATATTACTATTTAGGTAATCAGCCAGTGTTAGATGAAATAAAGAAATACCCAGAGTTTAGTTATGTCAGAATCCTCAAGTTGATGTACTCATCTGACCCAATGGTACGACTGTTAGCAGGGCTAGCTCTTGCCACATTTGCCTACAATAACATTGCTGAACAGAAGGAGATAGCAGATCAGGGTGGTGTTAGATTTAACTGTTTTGCACCATTTTTACAGTCTAATGATGAGATGTACAGATGTCTAGCAGCCTTTCAGGTATAGATCTTTACAACCACTTTGATCATGCCACTTTGGATTATAGTTCTTTCAATTTTACCTCCATCAAATTTTCACATGTTTTCTTGAGAAAATTATTTTAATGCTACTGACTTTCTGATATCAGTAAAAGTGTCATTCAGTCAAAGGATTCATTAAAAAGAAAGGATGTTTGAAGAAATAAAACTGTTTTTTAAAGATGCAAATCTTTAATCAATTTTTACAAATTACTGGGGTTCTGTATAAAAATCTGGAAACAAAATGAAATAAAGTTTGCTAGTCTGAAAGTATTTTGACTTTTCAAAAATCAAAATGTTTTTCCCTACTAAGGACGAGCATGTCATTTAATACATTCCAATTATAAATGAAAAAGATGCAAGGTAAATACATTCATTTTTCTGAGTTATATCCCTTGAACACTGAAAAAATAGTTTCAAGTTTGTTTCATCAATTGCAATGATTAAAAAGATACAAGGTTAATTTTTACAATATGATTGGTTACAACTAATACAAAATCAAACCAATGTTTGAAATATAGCCTATATTTGCCAGTGTTAAACATGGTTAAACAGTAATCAACTCAAGTTTGCTGTTTAAAAGCACAGATAATGTTTTTAATTTTGACTTGTATCTATTTTACCTGAAGTCTGTTACTAGGATCCTAGTAATAGATTTGCAGCTGTAAAAAAATCTGTTGAAAAAAGATTAATTTGAATGCTTCAACAACCAATTTTATCATTTAGAAATAATAACAGTTTTATTTCTTTGATATCCTAATTACTTATTGACAAAACTGTCAGTAAATGATTCTGTACAGGAAATGTTTTATTGTTTCTATTGATCGGCAATACTGTTTCCAATATTATTAAGGTCTTCAATATAGTTTTTATCTTTGGGCTTAGATCTATTGTTTTCAAAGTTTGAGCCTTCTTTGAAACAATTTCATTTAAATTTACTAAAAGATAAAAAAAAAAAAAATACGACAAAATATCAGACTGATAGAACTGGAAGCAAGTTATTTAAAGAACTTATTGATGTTTTCTTCTCTTGAAAAGAAAAATGTTGTCGCTTAATAAGATAAGGAAATTAGATTTGATATCATAAGGAGAATAAAAACAGTTTTCATTGATTTTGTTATTTGCTAGGAGAATACATTTTAGGAGAATGTTGACAGATTGTTATCAAGTCTGTGAATAGTCGTTTAAAAATCTCACCATGAAAATAACATGCATAAAACATATATTGATTATACCTAAAATCCATTTTTTTTGTACAATTACCAAAGGTGTGTTTAGGGTGTGAGCCCTCTATACCACCATCCCCGTGATCCGCCACTGGGTTGAGAGTTTCATCCTCGGCTGGGTCAAACCAAAGCTTGAAAATTGGTATTTGCTGCTTCTTGCTATGCACAAATTTAGGAGTATAAGTAAAGACTGGTTGGCACAGAGTCCAGTATTGTGTCTAGGTAAGGTGACATATCTTCTTGCAGGCTGTTATCTTGTTAATTCAGCTTGTTGGTCTAGTACAAAGCAAGAGTCATATTGGATATGCATTTAACTTACCACTGGACGTTAAACAGCCATCTATCATCATCAATTTCATCTTCATTGTAATTATTAAAACAAAAATATTTTCAGGTTGTAGTATTAGCAAGAATAATACCAGATGAGGAACAGGCCTTGTCGTCTGCTGCTGGAATTAAACTTATAGTCGATATACTTCAAGACTCCATGTCCAATGAGACAATATCATTAGCATGTGATTGCATTGCTAGATTATCACACACAAGAGCAGGTAACTAATTAATTTGAATGGTAATTTTGTTTTTAAAAACACATTTTACGGTAATCATGAATTTTGTTTGGGGGATGGGCGTTGAATTTAAGATATATTGGGTTGAAGTTAAACAATGAATGCATGAAATATATATAGTTATATGAGGGTATTAAATAAATTTAAGGGATCCATGAAAATAAAAAGTTAACAAACAATTTAGCGTCATAATATTTCTTATGGAATGAAGAAAGTAACAAAAAGTTAATGGCAACATTCCAAGGATTACAGTACAATTCTGCTAAAAAAAAAATGAAAGTTTTGGGTAAATTTTCTTGTCATTTTAAAAGTTTTTCATACAATGTAAGCTAAGTCTAAACTATTGCATGTATTTTAGTGGACAATGATCCTAAATTGTAGAAAGTACATTTGCAAGTTTAGATAAAATTATGCTCTTACTGCAGTCAGTATTTATTGATAGTACAAAAACATGTAGTACAACAAACTTGTGGAGTTATGAAATTTGTTTACAATGTCTGAGGTGAAAAGTTTGGCATTTGTCCATAGCAATTATAATATGTACTGCAATGTTATATATTGGATTATCCTTAGTATGTTAAAATTATATGGTTTCAGACGGATTATCTTTCCTATTGTTATAATCTGTTTTTTGGTTACATTTTAATTGTTAAAGATATTCAACTTGGAAATTAGATTCCTCTTTAGCTCTGATTAACATTATCGATTCCTTATAAGCTTGTGATTATAAATTTTTGGGATATTCCCTGTTAAAAAAATTGCCAGAATATTTAAGGCCATTCATGATATATTTTTAAAAAAGCTCTATGAACACTGAATATTTGTGATGTTAACTAAAAAGATTATATGCACTTTAATAAGATTGAATATAGAAATGAAAATATCCCGGTTTTTTTTCTGACAATTGTTTTTATTTGAATTGTCATTTTAGAGTTATGGGACTTTAATTGTAAAAAAAGGGTGGAATGTTATATGATAACTCTGTAATCTTCATGGTTCAATGGCTGGTTTGGTTCCTCAAATTTGTTAAAGCATGTAAAAATTAACATAAAATAATTGTTTAACCTTTAAACCCCTTTTCCTATGATAGACCCCTCTCCTTTTTCAATAGTTGCTAGATCTACCCCTTAAGATAAGAAATATAAAGCACAGTTCTTAATTTTTTTCATCTTCATATTTGTTAATTACCTACAAGATCTATAGTGATAGAGTCTTCTTTTTTAGAGTATGAGAGGGGTATGTTTTTAAATATATAAATTATATGCAATCATATAACAAATTAAATATTTTATATTTTGTAGAAGTTAACTATTTTTGACAAGCTTTTTAAGACTGATATTTTTAAATAGTGGAATTTTACTTGATGTCTACAAGACATTTATTAATCTTATGTTGTAAAGAAATATGAAAAAAAAAAATCCATACTTTATGCATCATTTTAGAATTTTTTTAACATTTTTATTTAAACATCAGGAATATTTCAGGAAATTATTAAAGGAAATAGCTAAACTCAAAACATTCTTAATGTGTAAGAATAAGGAAGATTTGTGGTATATGTCAATGGGGCAGCAACATTATGACAACAAAAACAAAGAACAACCAATCATGCCCCCTGTTTCTTCAAAACCCTGGATCACCCCTTGACATTGCTAATGAACATTTCACATATTTCATTTGGACGCATGAAAAAGGCATAAACTAAATGAAAAATAATTAATTAAAATGCTAAAACAAATATTTATTCTTTTTTTTTTTTTACAAAATCACGCCTTATTTATTATACTAGCAATGCTTATTTTGTGTATTTTTATAACTATGAATAAAGCTTTAGATACCACTGTTAATGATTAGCCATAGATTCAAATGTGTATTCAAATATTTAAACAGAGTTATAACAATACTTTAAAGGCTTCATTGATTTAGTTATTCCTTAATTACTAGCGTTACATTTGATATTTGCATGTAACATTTTTTGTCTGAATGCATTATATTTGAACAAAACATTCAATTACATACTCATTCATAAATTTAATCAACTTAGGTGCTTTATATAAAGTTTTTATGAGATATCCAGCCAGTCACAAATCAATAATTTAAATTTAGCACTGGGAATAATTGTTAGGCAGTGCATCAATAGTTGATAACAAGTCTAAAAACTTTTTATCATTTTCAAAATTTTCAAAAAGAACAGCTTTTTGAGTTATTTTAGGCCTGATAAACAATATATGGCTTTAAGCTCTCAAGTTAATCCTTTTTTCCTTCTTCATGAATTAGGTAATGTAAAAGTGTGTGTGTGGGGGGGGGGGGGGGGATTTTCAAGCATGTTCTTGAAATAAGATCAAATTAAAGGTGGATATGCTGGCAAATTTACATATCATGTAACTTGTTAAGAATAATAAAAAAAAAAGTAAAATAATAAAACGATATAAAAACTTATTCTGACTGACCAACAATTCATTTTTAGAAAGTAAGAAAAGAATGAATTCATTTGTGGAGGCCTTAAATAACAAAATTCCATAATGTTTGGACAAAAAGTCTTCATGTAATTAGAGTATTTTTGTTCATTTAGTACAATAGATAAATATATACACACATCATTTATAATTGATATACTTTGCCATATAGTCTTTTCAGTCTCAATGCTTGTAGTTCACTTAGTTGGTTGCATTCACCATTTGAACATCGGCAAACATATTGCTTTTAAATTATGTACCATCTTTAATCAAAATTCACAATCTTGACCAATAATACTATATCAAAATTGAAGACTCTCTGTCATTGAAGTCCCAAAAATAATTGTCTAATTGTAACTAATTAATTGAATTTTATTGATAACTTTGAAAGTTTGTTTTGTGTCATTAAAAATCTATAGATAACTGGCAAATATGATTTTTAAAATATGCCAAAAATATTGAAAGGTGCATCTTAAAATGACTGACCATGTATTATCAGACAATAATCACATGCCCCATATTCCAGGGTTCACTAGCTTTAAAGTTTCAAAACATCAGATTTTAAAAGATATAAAGTGACTTACAATCATATAAATTAATTTAAGACACCAACAATTATGACACATTGACCTATATTGGATGTTTTTGTGATGTAGGTAAAGTTTGATGATAAGGTTAATTAGTTCAGTGGGAAGTCTAGTGACAAAATATTACCTCCCCTGTAAACACTGAAAACTAGATCTTCTCAATGTTTGTCCCATTTTAGCAAGGATGCTATCAATTATGGATTCACGGGAAAACGTTCTGGTAAATAGTAAAAATAGAAATAAGTTGAAATAAAAACAAAACTTCCATTTAATGTTATCATTTCCCTCCTTAAGTAGCAAACGACTAGTACAGCAGGCTATAGAAGCTTGATGTAAAATTGGTTTAAATTGTTGCTATGCGAATAAATTCCTGGAGTACCAATTTCAATTTATTTTTCTACTGGCTGTATACCTCTCTGGAACATGCTAATTATCCATATATATATATATATATATATACAGCTAGATCAGAGAAAGTTGAGGTAAAATTCCAAAGGAATCTATTGATATTTAGTGCAGTGATATATCTGGGGAAGTCAGATGTGGATCCAGGATTTTGAAAAAGGTGGCCCCCAAACTAGACAATGTTTGGAATGGGACATGTAAAAATTTTATGAATTAACCATATATGTATATATGTAGCTCTATTAAAGGGGGTGGGGGCTTGGTCCCATCTAAATCTCCCTCTGGAAGTACAACAGCCTCTCATAAATAGAGGGAATCTAACCTACATTTCATAGTTTTTTTGGCTTCTGAAATTATTCAGTTCTCAGAAACTAAGTGACATCACAATTTACCTTAAGTAAAGTAATTTCTAAATTGGTTAAATAAAACTAAAAAACATTTATAAATAAAAACTTATATTCATTTACATAAACATATCTGTAATACATAAACAGCGATTATTTATGCTTTTTAGTAATGTATTTATTTTAAATTTTTTTCCATAGATATATATAAATTTTCTTATATACAAAGTATCTTATATACAAAGCATCTGTATCCATTTTTTTACTTTCAAATACTTGATCTATTCTCTCCCAAGTCAGTAAGCTCTAGCCCTTGTTAGTCTTGTGTGTTTTTTAATTTTAATTCATTTATATGTTTTGGAGTTTAGTGTGGCGTCCATTTCCCTAAACACATAATGGTTTAGGGGCCAACTGAAACCTGTCTAGTGATGAGCGATTTTCTTGCTGCATTGAAGACTAATTGGTGGCCTTGGGCTGTTTTCTGCTCTTTTGGCAGGTTGTTGTCTCTTTGACAACTTCCCCATTTCCATTTCCATTCTCAATTTTATCTATTCCATAAGAGTTGGTTATCAACATTTTTATTAGATCCTGTCCAAGTAAATATTTAATCACTGAAACCATTGAATAACTGATAAAAATGTTTAAAAGTCCTGTTCACAATGTGAAATCAGCTTACTTAGACAACCATCAGATTTGGTTAAATATCTTATCTTATGTCAGTTTTTCAAAACAGAACAATTGTGGTGTATATGACTGATAATTCTTATCTCACTCCCTATCCAGGACAGTTCAAATGCATTCAGGTTGCCTTGGCAACCATTTTATGCTTGGAACACTGTCTTCAAGATATTTTTATTTTCTTAAAAAACATGGAGATTTCAGACAATGACATTTTTTTACTTCATTCTTCCTAATTAGTACCAACAAAATTCAACAATATTTAAATCTAATTTTCACTTTAGCAACTTTTATAAGTTTTGCTTGTAGGTCTTGAACTTCAATCATTAAGATAGTTATATCCATCAGTTTACATATTAATATTGCTATTTATAGTGTATTTACATATACATGTATTATTTAAAAAAAAATTGTTTTCTACTTTATATTACTCACAACATTTCTTTTTATTCTAAACATAATTCTTGATATGAAATGGATAATCTTGACGTATATATCCCTACATGAGTGCATAAATAAGGCTTAGCTTTTGTCTTGTCTGTGTTTATATGTTTAAAAATATTTTTCAGGAGTACCTGCTGCCATTGTTTCTATAGATGCTGTAAATCTCCTCTGTCTACAGCTTCTGTCTCCGGCTGAACAAATCAGAGGATGTGCTTCCATAGCTTTGGGATATCTTTCTTTCAATCATGCTGGTGAAAGACAAATTTTGAATAGGTAAGATAGCGTCCGTCATTTTGGATATATCTCAATCTTTAATCTGAACAGGTAAGATAGCTGGCAATATTTTGTGGATATCTCTAGCAGAAGACAAATTCTGAACAAGAAAAATACCTTCCATAGCTTTTGGATCATCTCTCAAACAATCATGCAAGGAAAGAAAAATCTGAACAGGTAAGATAGCAGCCGGTGCTTTGGGGATATCTTTCATCCAATCATACAGCAGAAAGACAAATTCAGAACAGGTAAGATACCTGCCATAGCTTTGGATTTATCTCACATACAATCATACAACAGAATGATAAATCTGAAAAAAAATACTTCTGGAACTAAGAAGTAAAACAAAACAGTTAAAACCAAACTTTATTTTTTGAAAATTTAAATTTAAATTTGTCATATAAGCTGATTTTTTTTTTTGTAATGGAAAGGAGGCTTAAGAGATAGCAAGTAACTTGTAAGATTTTTTGTTCTGCATAACATTTTATCTTTATTGTTTTTTCCACATATGTCATATTGTTATAATAGATTTATCTGCAACTATTGTCTATATGCATCATTTGTTTTTTTAAAGCATTCATACCAGTGAATTTTAGTTTGAGGTTGTGTTGGAATAGTATTGTAGTTGTCTTTTATGACATGTTATTTATTTTTGCTAGATGTAGAGCAGATCCATATTTAATGAGGATATTACTGCATTATACCAAGAACAGTAAAATCAGTGCTGATTTCCTTAAGGGATGGCAACATTACAAGAAAGTCGGACTTCCTCCTGTACAGTATGTAAATTAAGGAAATGTCGATAAATTAATGAAACTGCTAAAGAAAATGTTAAAATATACATATTTGTTTAACTACACAAGACCAGTAAAGCACACAGGACAGATGCCAAAAAAAAAAAACAGAAGCAGAAAAGAATATTCCTGTCTATGAAATTGTTGTCTCATCTTGAAACTTAAGTTTGCATGTGCATTATGATATAAAGTTTTAAAACATATGCCAAATTAGGGTTTTGACACAGATTTTGAGGTTTACTAAATATGGAAATCAATACATTCTCACTATTTTCATAGATAAAAAAGTTTATCAACCAAAATAAAGATAATTGTATAAATTGGCATTTAATGCCAGCAGAAAAATATTAAAATTGTTTAATTCATTGACCTGCATGAACACAGTTGAAAATACATCAAATTTCAAACTTAAAAAGATGATTAAAAATAATTTTTGAGACGTTTTGTCTAATTAATTAATAATATTTTTTTCAGGGATGGTAGACCAAATCTTGTTGGATTTATACCACCTGATGGCCCTGGTATATCTATAGACCAATATTCTAATACACCAACATCATCTTCCAATACCAATGCTGAGGAAGGTCGAATAGGGGATCAGGGGTCAACATCTAGGACAACTTCTCGACATGACACAGGTAGTAGGACTGATGGAACTCCAATCCAAGCAGAAACTCCTATCAATGCCAGTCAGATTTCCCTAGATTCAAGTCAATCGCCACAACTTCAAGAAATTGCCGCTGAATGAAATTCACTATGCATTTATTTGAAATGGATATGCATGTATATTAATGTAGAGAGGACATGTCTTTTGGATCAAAAGGATAACTCATTGAAACAACATACATATTCATTTAATTTACATATGTCCATACAGTATTTTTGAAATTTTGTTCAATATGTAGACTAGAGGCCTAACTATTTACCGACAGGAACTGTTAATTAGTCGGTAGGATCCGTACACCGAAAAATATAAATAATTAAATTGAGAATGGAAATGGGGAATATGTCAAAGAGACAACAACCCGACCAAAGAGAATTATCCTTTACTAAAATTGTTATAAATTTCATTTGCCTGAAAATTTGCCATGACATAGTGTGTTTGTAAGATGCATATATATATGTACATTGGATTTGAAATCGTTAAAAAAGAACCCCCAAAAAAATAGTGTATTTCTGATTGATAAAGATAAAAATGGGAGATAGACTGATAATTTCTCTCTTATGTTATTTTACTTTTGTAGGGGTTTAATTAGTTAATGAGTATTTATTGAAAAACGTGTGATAGGAATTTTATACATGACAATACAATAATTTTGAATAGTATACTTAGGAGGATTCATTTTATTTCATGGGGTTTTAATTTTCATAGATTTCGTTGATACATTGTACATTGAATTTTTAAAAACCATAAAATCAAGTATAAACTAAAAATTCTGTTTTCCTTAAGCCAATAAAATTGGTATCCATGGAAATAAATGAATCCAGAGTGAGTCATTTTGTATTTTTACTAACCTAAAGACTCCAGACTTTTTTCTGAAATGTTTTATTTCTGAAATAAAGAGTGCTGCTTGTTATCTTTTATGTTTTGATATTCTCTAACTGTTGTAGCTCATATATTTTATTCTTCTAAATGCCTCTAATTATTTTATATTTTCTTGTTATACATGTTTCTTTTTACCTGAATTGGAATTTTATATATTTTTGTATTTGTTGATGTTATGCAATATTTGGATTTTTTGTATCATTTCATTGTTAATTAACTTCCTTTTTCTACAAAGTTAGTATTCTCCATTTTTTATTTGAGATATAAAAATGACTTCAAAGCGAGCAAAAAAAAGGTAGAATTTTTATAAGATTCGTGTTTAATAGAATACTATTAATTCTTACATGAATTAACATATAATGGCACTTATTTTTATACAAATATATGGTATTATATTTTTAAGCTTTTTTTTATATATATATATGATTTTTGTTGTCAAGAGACTTATTCCATTAAAGAAACATTGCAAACGATAATAGAGAAAACATTGCTCAGAAAATATTTTCAATGAACGAGGTTTTACGAGTACAGTGAAAGTTGAAAAGGCTTAAACCTGTACACTAGTAGAAATCCAGATTTTGTATGTTTTTTTCATGTTTCTATCATTCCTTTAGGTCTGGTAAAAGGAAATATTGCAGAGTTGCCAAAGTTATTAACTTACCTTGTTTTGGTGTAAACTTCCCAAAATGGCATTAAAAAGACCAAATGTTTTTTTTTTGTTTTATTTGGTCAATGTCTCATTGAGGTAAATAAAATTGAGGATGGAAACGGGGAATGCGTCAAAGAGACAACAACCCAACCAAATAGCAGAAAACAGCCCTAAAAAAAAATCCCACACCCAGAGCTTGTTATTGTTGAAGGGTAAATGTCCACAAATTCCTTCATAAATCAGCCAAATCTAACTTGTTATACTGACTTTTAGACTTTAGAAAATGTTGTTTTCTGAACAATTTTGATTTCTTTAAGCTTTGTTTGATTCATCACTATGATCTAGTAAGACTTGTTTCAATTTGGTTAGTCAAATAAGAAAATACATAAGTTACACCTCCGACATAGCAGCCAAGGGAAATAACTCAAATTCAAATTACATCTGACACATTAAAACCCATCTATTTTTGAAAATTTTGTAATGTCTAATTATAAGATGACATCTTTGATGACCTTTCAGTCTGCAGATATGCAGTGTTGACATTACTAAAATTGTTCTGATCTTATTTCTGCAAGTCAAATCTATTATGACCAGTAGTTCCATGTTTTGAAATAAAAAGTTTAAATATAGGTTTATTAATATAACTGGGACCTGTTTTGTACTGTATTCCCATTGGAGCTTTCAGTTAAGTTTAATTATGTTTATACTCTCTTCTAAATAACATTTAAGGAATGACTGTAATATTTTTTCTGTCTATGAAGAAATAACATCAAAAATGTAGTGCACACTGAATAACCTGCTTAGCGGGTTATTTTAAAGTGTGCACCACATTTTTATGTTATTTCGAATAGACAGAAAAAATATTACAGTCATTTCTTATTCTTTAATTCTAAATTTCATTTTAAACCGGAGAAAACCATGAAAAAACGTTGATGACGCCACGGTCACATGACAAAATTATGTCTATGAGCTGATAAACAAAACAACGTCAGCCAATCAGAAGATGCGTTACATTCAAAATTAAATTATATTGAATTAAAGTCAAAATAAGATTGTTAGTTTGCCATTTGAATTGTATTCTTTTTCACTATCATATCTCTATGTCAGATATGAATTTATGTACATGTATATCATTTATGTTTTAACATGGATACTAACCTAAGTCTTTGTAAGACTTCAAATTTAAAAAGCATTTTAATTATTTGTTATTGTTGATGAAATGTGTAATAAAGAATCGTTATAATCTGATGTCTTTTGAGGCCAAAGTTAAAATAAAGCTAGTTCATGTACTGGGTAAATGTAAAGAGATATCTACTGCAACAACAATGAGTTACAACCAAAAATAACAAATAAACATAGAAAAATGAACATTAAACCACAAAATAAAATCACTGCATTAAACCACAACATTAGATATCAACATTAAACCACAACATTAAATCACAACACTAAATCACAACATTAAATCACAACATTGAACCACAACATTAAATCACAACATTAAATCACAACTTTGAATTAAAACATTAACCACGACCTTATCCCAAAGAGGACAGGAGTAATAACAAATGTTGAAACAAATTTGTAGAAAATTTGTAGTTTTTTCTAAAAAAAAAATCAATGTCCATAAACCCTGGTTGATCTCTTCAGATGATCCCAATTGGGCAAATTGGTGATTAACTATCATAGTTGTAACTTGGTAAGCACTATAGAAAAATATAACTTAAATATTCACAGTTATAATCTTTTTGTCAGATTTTCTCTTTTTTGGGATCAGGGTTCATGTTTGATGTCTGATGGGGTCTTCATTTGCAATTTCTGTACAGGACTACAAAATTACTATTGTACATTTTTGTCGAGCCTGTGACTTTTGTTGCAGAAAGCTTGACATAGGGATAGTAATCAGGTGGCGGCGGTGGCGTTAGCTAACTTCTTAAAAGCTTTATATTTTAGAAGCTAGAAGACCTGGATGCTTCATACTTTGTATATAAATGCCTTATGTTACGAAGTTTCCGTCTGTCATATGTCCATTGTCCTTGACCTCATTTTCATGGTTCAGTGACAACTTGAAAAAAAAGTCAACATTTTTTGTAATGTTAATTTCTTTCTTATTATGAGTAATAGGATAACTATATTTAGTATGTGTGTACCTTGCAAGGTCCTTATGCCCGTCAGACAATTTTCATTTGACCTCGACCTCATTTCATGGATCAGTGAACAAGGTTAAGTTTTCGTGGTCAAGTCCAAATATCAGATACTATAAGCAGTAGGTCTACTGTATTTGGTATATGGAATGATTGTTAGGTGTACATGTCCAACTGGTAGGTATTATCTGACCTTGACCTCATTTTCATGGTTCAGTGGTCAAAGTTAAGTTTTTGAGTTTTGGTCTTTTTTTCTAATACTATATGCAATAGGTCAACTATAAATGGTGTATGGAAATATTTTATGATGTACATGTCAGTCTCACAGGTTTTATGTGACCTTGACCTCATTTTCACTGTTCATTTCTCAGTGTTAAGTTTTTATACGACCGCAAAAAAATTTTGTGGTCTTATATTGGTATGACGTTGGCGTCGTCGTCGTCTGGCGTCGTCGTCCAAAGACACATTGGTTTTTGCACTTTAACTTTAGTTTAAGTGAATGGATCTTTTTGAAATTTGACCATAAGGTTAAATACCACAAAAGGAAGGTTGGGATTGATTTTGGGGGTTATGGTACAAACAGTTAAGGAATTAGGGGCCAAAAATAAGCATTTTCTAGTTTCCAGACAATAACTGTGGAACGGTGTATGGATCTCTCTGAAATTATACTACAAGTTTCCATACCACAAAGGGATGGTTAGGATTTGCTTTGGAGGGTTATGGCTCAAACCGTTTAGGAATTAGGGGCAAAAAAGGGGGAAAAACAAGGTTGTCCTGGTTAATGGACAAATACTTTAGTACAAAACATAATTTAAAGCAGTGTAAGGGAGATAAATCAAATACATCATTGAAATTATCTCCCTTACACTGCTTTTAAATTATGTATAAAGTAATGGTTAATGAAAAATAAAGATAATTTAAAACAGTGTAAGGGAGGTAATCCAAATAGAACGTTTTGGTTACTTCCCTTACACTGCTTTTAAATTATGTTTAAAGAAATGCATATTTATAAAGGAAGACCAGTAAAAATATCTGCAAATGTTGCATCTTTTTTTTTTACAAAAAAATCCATATGAAAGATTTGACACTATATTTTTAATTCTATTATAAAAAAGATTAAGTTAGCACTATGGTAAATTTAAATGGGTAATTATGGTTGCCAACTCCATTGGAAATTTGAATTGAGATTATGACCATATCTTGAGGGAAAGAATTTTTTTGGGGAAAAAAGGGGGGGGGATAAAAAGAAATTGTGGGGGGTCAATTTTTTCTCATTTCAGATTTCAGAAATTAAAAGAATTATTCTTCAAATATTATTTTTTTTTTCAAATTTCAAAAATTGAAAAATTTCAAGAAGTAATCTTTAATTGCACAGTATGGCGCATTAGATTTGTAAAATCTTTGATCACATTTATTTATTTGTTATGCCGAATCTAACAGTGTATTTAGATTTTAAATTTTGGGTCCAGTTTTCAAATTGGTCTACATTAAGGTCCAAAGGGTCCAAAATTAAACTTTGTTTGATTTTAGCAAAAATTGAATATATGAGGTTCTTTGATATGCTGAATCTAAACATGTATGTAGATTTTTGATTTTTGGCCAAGTTTTCAAGTTGGTCCAAATTGGGGTCCAAAATTAAACTTTGTTTGATTTCAACAAAAATTGAATATATGGGGTTCTTTGATATGCTGAATCTAACCATGTATTTAGATTTTTTATTTGTGGACCCCGTTATCAATTTGGTTCATATTGAGGTCAAAAGGGTCCAAAATTAAACTTTGTTTGATTTCATCTAAAATTGAATTATTGGGGTTCTTTGATATTCCAAATCTAACTGTGTATTTAGATTTTTTATTTTGGGTCCTGTTTTTTAAATTGGTCTACATTAAGGTCCAAAGGGTCCAAAATTAAACTTAGTTTGATTTTAACAAAAATTGAATTCTTGGGGTTCTTTGATATGCTGAATCTAAACATGTGTTTAAATTTTTGATTATGGGCCTAGTTTTCAAGTTGGTCCAAGATAGGGTCCAGTATTTAAACTTTGTTTGATTTCAACAAAAATTGAATATATGGGGTTCTTTGATATGCTGAATCTAAACATGTATTTAGATTTTTGATTATGGGCCCAGTTTTCAAGTTGGTCCAAATTGGGGTCCAAAATTAAACTTTGTTTGCTTTCAACAAAAATTGAATATATGGGGTTCTTTGATATGCTGAATCTAACCATGTATATAGATTTTTTATTTGTGGACCCCGTTATCAAATTGGTTCATATTGAGGTCAAAAGGGTCCAAAATTAAACTTTGTTTGATTTCATCTAAAATTGAATTATTGGGGTTCTTTGATATTCCAAATCTTACTGTGTATTTAGATTTTTTATTTTGGGTCCTGTTTTTTAAATTGGTCTACATTAAGGTCCAAAGGGTCCAAAATTAAACTTAGTTTGATTTTAACAAAAATTGAATTCTTGGGGTTCTTTGATATGCTGAATCTAAACATGTGTTTAGATTTTTGATTATGGGCCTAGTTTTCAAGTTGGTCCAAGATAGGGTCCAGTATTTAAACTTTGTTTGATTTCAACAAAAATTGAATATATGGGGTTCTTTGATATGCTGAATCTAAACATGTATTTAGATTTTTGATTATGGGCCCAGTTTTCAAGTTGGTCCAAATTGGGGTCCAAAATTAAACTTTGTTTGATTTCAACAAAAATTGAATATATGAGGTTCTTTGATATGCTGAATTTAACCATGTATTTAGATTTATTATTTGTGGGCCCCGCTATCAAATTGGTTCATATTGAGGTCAAAAGGGTCCAAAATTAAACTTTGTTTGATTTCATCAAAACTTGAATCATTCGGGTTCTTTGATATGCCAAATCTAACCGTGTTTTTAGATTTTTAATTTGGGTCCCCTTTTTTAAATTGGTCTTCATTGAGGTCCAAAGGGTCCAAAATTAAACTTAGTTTGATTTTAACAAAAATTGAATTCTTGGGGCTTAGATATGCTGAATCTAAACATGTGTTTAGATTTTTTATTATGGGCCCAGTTTTCAAGTTGGTCCAACTTGGGGTCCAAAATTAAACTTTTTTTTATTTCAAAAAAAATTGAATATATGGGGTTCTTTGATATGCTGAATATAACCGTGAATTGAGATTTTTTATTTGTAGGCCCCGCTATCAAATTGGTTCATATTGAGGTCAAAAGGGTCCAAAATTAAACTTTGTTTGATTTCATCAAAAATTGAATTATTGGGGTTCTTTGATATTCCAAATCTAACCGTGTATTTAGATTTTTTAATTTTAAGTCCCGTTTTTTAAATTGGTCTACATTAAGGTCCAAAGGGTCCAAAATTAAACTTAGTTTGATTTTAGCAAAAAATTGAATTCTTGGGGTTCTTTGATATGCTGAATCTAAACATGTGTTTAGATTTTTGATTATTGGCCCAGTTTTCAAGTTTGTCCAAGTTGGGGTCCAAAATTAAACTTTGTTTGATTTTAACAAAAATTGAATATATGGGGTTCTTTGATATGCTGAATCTAACCATGTATTTTGATTTTGGACATTGGACCATAATAGGTAAATTAAAAAAATTCAAGTTCTTAGACCACATTCTTTCTGTGTCGGAAACCTATGCTGTGTCATATATTTATTAACAATCCAAATTCAGAGCTGTATCAAGCTTGAATGTTGTGTCCATACTTGCCCCAACTGTTCAGGGTTCGACCTCTGCGGTCGTATCAAGCTGCGCCCCAGCGAAGCATTTTATTGTGTTTTGGTCTGTTTTTCTTCAACTATAAGCAATAGATCAACTATATTTGATGTATGGAAGGATTGTAAGGTGTATATGTCTGTCTGGCAGGTATCATCTGACCTTGACCTCATTTTCATGGTTCATTGGTCAATGTTAAGTTTTCATGGTTAAGTTTCTTAGATACTATAAGCAATAGGTCAACTATATTTAATGCCTAAATTGATTGATTGTAAGGTGTACATGTCCGTCTGGCATGGTTCATCTGACCTTGACCTCATTTTCACCATTCATTGGTCAATGTTAAGTTTTCTTGGTTAAGACTGTTTCTTAGAAACTATAAGCAAT